ATTCGGCTCCAGAGGAGAGTTTGAAGGTAAGTACCACGGTGATTAAGAACAGCCATATTAACGTGTTTATTGGCATGCAAGCTGTGATCCCATGTTCTTCTTCAGGTTTTATTGCTGTGGTACAGAGCTGAAAACTATGAAGGGAATAATTATCATTGTAATTGAGCTACTTAATATAACTACTTTAGTAGATATATGCAGGTTGTAACTCCAGTAGGTGATTTTGTAGGTAATATTAAATTGTAGCAGTGATTACATTTTAGAAGGCCAACAACTGTAAAGGAAAAAGATAAATAATTCAAATTACAAGAGGGTTTATATTACTGTTGTGTCTTCAGGATTATTTAGAAGTTGTCTTTTTTTTCCTATCCATTCATGTCCTAACTTTGGAGTTGTTCCGTCTCCTCTAGGTTTCGTTGCGGTTGTGAACAAGGCGATGAGTGAACGTTTTGCCAAACTGGTGAGCTCAGCGGAAGTCTTGCTCCCCGAGCTGCCCTGGCCCAAAGAGTTTGAGAAAGACACTTTCCTTAAACCTGACTTCACCTCACTGGATGTTCTGACCTTCGCTGGGAGTGGAATACCAGCTGGCATCAACATCCCCAACTGTATGTACACTGAGACATGGAGTTATATATATATATATATAAATATTGCCTGTCTCACAGTATTGCACTTAAAGTACATTTGTGTGTTTTTGTATGTAGATGATGACATCAGACAGTCCGAGGGCTTTAAAAACGTGTCGCTAGGCAACGTGCTGGCTGTAGCCTATGCCACGCAAAAAGAAAAACTCACCTTTCTGGAGGAGGAGGACAAGGTAACACATGCAACTTCCTTGTCTCTTTCACGCCAGCCCTCATCTCTCTCACACACTTCCATAATTACTGTATACATTCTCGTGTGTGTGTTGTGTTTGCACTAGGATTTGTTTATCAAGTGGAAGGGACCTTCGTTCGAGGTGCAGGTTGGACTTCATGAGCTGTTGGGCCATGGAAGCGGCAAGCTCTTTGTCCAGGTGAGTCAAAACCTACTGCTGCTGCGCAATCACATCAGCACCAGAGAGCTACATTATTTATAGTCTCATGAATTTTGAATGCGCAACCACAGTAATGTGTTTAAATAATTTGCAATTAATCTGAAACAAACAGTTTTCATTTGACTTCCCTTGATACCTCAGTGATGCAAATTGAAACTCCCTGTTAAAATGTTGAATTTACTGATACTCCACTGAATCATCAGTGAGGAAATTAAACCTGATTTGGGTTTGTTTTGCTCCATCTCAGGACGACAAGGGCAAGTTCAACTTTGATCAGAGTAAGGTGACTAACCCAGAGACTGGAGAACCGGTGAGTGTGTTTGTGTGTAGACCCGTTTCTAAAGCTGTGTTCAGCTGGCAAACAGAGACTGAAGGTGTGAGTGTCTTTTTAGGTGTCCAGTTGGTACCGGGGCAGCGAGACGTGGGACAGTAAATTTTCCACGATCGCTTCCTCTTATGAAGAATGCCGTGCTGAGTGTGTTGGACTCTATCTGTGTCTCAACAAGCAAGTGCTCAGGTATATCATACACTCAGGATGATTATTCATATAATTTTGACAGAATATAATTTTTTTTTAGGGATACCTGATTTTCTTCCTTAGTTTGATGTTGGGTGGGGACTTTTAAGGGGCTTGATTTCAGAGTTTAAAAGTAGCTAAAATGCAAACTAGACACTGACATCAGCTGCTGAAGAACACTTTCATCACTCTCTGTTACAGAATGAGGACAAAGAGGAGGACTCCTTTCTTATTCCAGGCATTATGAAGCCATTTATGTTCGAGCTTTTGCCAGCAGACCGCTACTCATGCAGTTTTTTTTTTTTTTTTTTTTACATAGTTAAGACATTTAAAAGTTTCAGCTTCAGGCCATAGAGATGCTATGTTATTATTATGTGTCACAATATAGTGAAGAAGATGGAGTGGTTATTATTTCTGGTAAAGCCTGGATTATTTGTGGATGATTGCCTGCATTATAACCATTCCTTTGTGTGTGTATGTTCCAGTATTTTTGGCCATGAGGGTCAGGATGCGGAGGATGTGGTGTACGTCAACTGGCTCAGCATGGTTAGAGCTGGACTTTTGGGCCTGGAGTTCTACACACCTGAGAGCAAGAGCTGGAGACAGGTAATCTGTCTGCTCACCTAGTTTCATTTTCTCCATAACAAGATGTCTCTCTCAGTCTCTACTTGGACTGGTTCTCAACATGTAATAATGAACTATAACTTTCATTTATGTAGGACTTCAGCGATGCATAGTGTTGGGTGAACAGTGTTTACAAGACAAGTCATCATGCAGAACTTTAAGCATGTGTTTCTTACAAACTGACAGGCTCAGCTGTATGTCTGTGTTGTTTTATTATACAGCTTATAGTAAGTCTGTCTGTGTTTATATGAGTGTCAGGAGATGTATATAGTGTATGCGTATGTGTGTGTCTCAGGCTCACATGCAGGCACGTTTCGTGATCCTGCGTGTTCTGCTGGAGGCCGGGGAGGGACTGGTGGGCCTGGAGGAAGTTGCGGGACAGGACGGCAAACCTGACGCTCGAATTACATTGGACCGAAGCAAGATCCACACTGTGGGCAAGGACGCCATCCATAGGTTCCTTTGTAAACTGCAGGTATATCTATTCTTTTGGTTTGCATACAAGCAATTGAAATAAAGTAAATCTGGGCTTTGGGAAATTGGACATTTTGTTTATACTGTTACTTAGGCTTGCTATAAAAACAGTTAATGGTAGAATCAATTGTAACTGAAAAATGAATTGATAATGAAAATAACTGCTTCACAATAACAAATCCAATGCAATAACCAACTTCTCAAGTTTCTGTGTTCCCTTAAATTTTATCTTGTTCAGTCAAATCCGTCATAAAATTGTTTTTATTCATATGTGATTTAATATGGCAATGCTGCATGGTGATCATAGTGGGTCAGATTGTGAGCCAACATGTCGCTAACCTGATTTCACTGTTCTGCAGGTCTTGAAGTCAACGGCAGATGTCGAAGGAGGCAGGGCTCTCTATGACGGTTACTCCACTGTCAGCGACAGCGGCGCTCACAACTTCTTGCGTCTCCGCGAGACCATACTGCTGAGGAAGGAAGCTCGTAAGATGTTTGTCCAGGCCAACACCAAAGTCAATGGTATGTATCTGTACCTGTTATCGGGGGTTTTCACATGTGTAGAAGTAATTGTAGATTCTTGCACTATTAGAGTTAATTGTTGAGTGTGTGTCTGTCTCTGTGGGGTTCCCAGGGGACAGCATAGAGCTGGTGGAATATGAAGGAAGCGCAGCAGGTTTGATTCGCTCCTTCACTGAGCGATTCCAGGACGACGCAGAGCAGCTGGAGGCCGACCTTTTGGAGATGAGCAAAAGAGACGCCCCCTGTTGGTGTTGATGGATCGATGGATGGTTGATCTGCTACAGAGGCTTCAAAAATACCAACTGAAATCAAATTTCTTTTTTTAACCATATGTCAAATGCAAACTGATTCTTACTGGATACACACAACACAAAAAATGGCAAAATGATCCAAATCTTTTTAGAAGACACTTCTGACAGATTAAACTTCATACTTCAAAATAAAGCCATAACACAAGAACAGATCTGCCAAAGACACCAGCCACAGTTTTTTTTCCAGCCCAATGTCAGGTCTGTCTTTGATAACAGGATCAAATACAAATAAATGAGCTGATAATTAAAACCACACTATCACTCTTTTAGATGCACACATTCTTCTAATGAGAAGATTTGATAATTGTCTGTTAAACCAATGCTGCCTGACAATAAAAATGGTTCCTGGGTATAAACGTGTATGCAAGTGACTATAGATAGTTCTCACTTTCTAATCTTGACAAAGTCAAAAATTGGTTTTAAATCTTCACAGAATGAACATTATGATCATTACATTGTGTCTGTACTGGAAACTATGCTTGTGGACGGACGTTAAAATGATTCCATCTTTACAGTTTGTCCAGCTTTGTTGATGATTGGCAGGTTAAAGCTGTTAACTAGCAAAAACAAAAAAACACTTTTTGCTTACTTGACTGTATAAAATCCTAAAAAAAAAGAAATGTGGTGTTGAATCTGCACAAATAAAACTTGTTTGATAAGATCTTAGTGGTATTTTATTTCTAACAGAACCATAGGAAAGTCACTCATTTATTTCACCCACAAATCTGAGATTGACTTTATGTATATTTTAATAAAATAAGAAATTAGCTGATGATTGAAGTTAGACATTAATTACTGACTTCTACGTTTACTCTAAAAGATATCACTGTAGGAAGACTTGGGGGTTTCCTATACAAGAAATTAAAATGAAACGGCTAAAGCCTCTACAATATACTGGGATTGTGGACAATTGCAATTCAACATTTTCTCCCACAAGCAACCAGAATAATGTCTCTGAACCACACAAGTGTGTAAGATTTAGTAGCATCTAGTGGTGATGTTGCAGATTACAACTGAACACTGCTAGCAACTGAATTTGATTCCCTGGGAATGACAATAGGCAGTGAAGTGTGTAGGAGAAACTATTGTGTGCTCTGAGCTACTGTATAAACATGGCGGACTGGAAGGGGACCCACAGCATCTGTAGATAAAAAATCACCTCATTCTAAGGTAACAAAGACACAGCGAGTCCTATATTCAATATAATAATAATATAATTAAAACATACCTGTGAATATTATATTTCTTTTCTGCCAATAGATCCTCCTAAATGTTCCACACTGAACCTAAATAGTTCCACACTAAATATTGGTACCTTTAGACAGAAACTTTAATATTTAATATAATTAAGCAGGATGATTCATATAATCCTATTTTATGTTTATTCATTGTCCTACAATGTATCTGCTACTTTTATTTTGGTGGTAACACCATAGCAAATATTGAAATCGGATTTTTATTTGTACCTTTTGATGCAAAAAGAAAAGGTTACTGTGGACTACCAAACTCAAGAAAGTTTCAAGTCTGCAATTTTTAATTTAATTTTCAGAAAAAAACTGATATTAAAGGTAACAAAACTGTCGGGTCACAAATCAGTCTGGGGAATACTTAAGAAAATGGTTGACAATAAGGCATAAAAAAGCTACAGCTGCAGTTAAAACATGCAAACAAACAGTATCGTCATTAAAATCTTTGGTTTTGTAACTTATTTACTTTTTTTTTTACCAAACAATTCTACAAAATGCTTCATGACATCACGTCATTGAGTTCCAGTTCAAAATGTTTGTTCGCTAGAGGCTTGTACCGTTGTCCTGTTTGTGGGATGAGTGAGGTGAAGTCTCTGCTGCCCCCTCAAAACTACTTAAGGAGCTGCAGCTGTCAGTGTCCCTTAGAGAAGCAGCATTCATCTGTAAAACCAGACCCTCTTCCTCACTTGTATCATCATCCTCATCCTTATCTCCACCTGCCCCCTCCTCCTCCTCAGCCTCTCCCTCCGATCTCTGCTGATCTGGTCTTGAAGGAGCAGCGTGTGTGCGATAGGCCTGCTCTGCCATCTGAGAGAAGGACAGAGAGGTGAAGGGGGAGAGAGAGAAGGGGACTTTAGGAGAAGGAGATGGGGACTGATGAGGCGAAAGAGAGGGCGAAGCGCTGGGTGAGCGGTTAGGAGAGAGGGAAAAGGGAACCTTGGGAGAAAGAGATGGGGACTGATAAGGCGAGAGAGAGGGCGAAGCACTGGGTGAGTTATGTGGAGAGAGGGAAAAGGGAACCTTGCGAGAAAGAGATGGGGACTGATATGGCGAGAGGGAGGGAAAGTCACAAGGAGAGACGGACGAAGATACTTTGGGAAACAGGGGAGGTGCTTTGGGAGAAGCAGATGGGGAGAGGTAAGGAGAGAGTATGGGAGAATGGGAGGAATTGATCATCAGAGAGGGCTGCATGTAGTCTGAATCATCTGGAAGATTCTCCATTACTGCTGGCAGCTGAGCCGTAGCCTCCGATCCTGGGGCTCCAGATTTACCTTGGCCTGGTTCCATCTGTGTTTGGCCTGGATCCTGCATCTCAGGCTGGAAGTGAGGAGTTGCTGATGCAGGCTGAACTTGGGCCTCACTAGGGGTGTCCTGTGCCTGTATCACAGGCTGGGACTGGGAGTCCTGAACTTTTGGACCAATCTGAGTGGCTTGACTTGGGACTTGGGCTTGTCCCAATTTCCGGGCTTTACATTTACCTTTGGTTTTGGGCATGAGAGGTGGTGGAGGAGGAGGAGCAAGCGGCGGCGACAGAAGGGTCGATGTCTCTGTGGAAATTCGAACTTTGAGGCTGTGTTTGAACATGCGGCGTCTGGACAAACTGTTCTGGGACTGCAGGAAAAGGGGGTTGATGAAGCAGAGGGCGCCCAGGCCGGACCCACAGTCCAGCTCTCGGGGGCTTCGCGTCGTGATCGGACAAAACTCGTGGAACAGGGTGGCCGGACCCGAGTGTTTGGTGGAAGCGCTGGATTCTGTGTTGAGCAGGCTCTCTGCGTTGGGCTGGCGAGCTGAATCAGGCTGAGCTGCAGAGCTCGTTGGCGGGGCAGACGTGGGCGGGGCCGAGGGTAAAACATCTGGCTTCTTGTTCTCGTCCCGTGGCCCACGGATGTTTAGGTGGGACCTCCAGAATTCTATAAAACAAGATAGATGTAATTTTCAATTAATTGGTCAATTTTGAGCAACTACCATATGTGTATTCTATCTGTGCTGTGATGTGCACAAAATATTACCTCAGCACAACTTTAGAACCATATAATCTAAAAATTGGTTCATCGTATCATGCAAAACCTAGGTCAAACATGAAAAAAGGAGTTAATTTGCTAAAAAATGACATTTCATATAGAAAAAGTAATTAAGAAGAGTACATTTCATGGCAATATATTCTGTTGATTATACTATGATTCATCAATAAAACCTAACTTTGACTTAGTTTCTCAGTCTACTGATGAACAAAAATACCTACACACACAATTTTCCAGTGTTTATGTTTCTTACCCAGCAGCTGGGAGGTAATTACTGTAAGTATAGTATGTGCGCAGCTTGTGTAAATAAATCCTTTAAGGCTCGTGTCTTTGAGGTTGAGATTACAAAATCTGCTGTCAGGAAACAAGGAGTTGTGTTCACCAACCTATTCCCATATGTGAGATGGACTCCAGCTCTTTGTGGGATGTTGCCTTTGCAATGGCTTCAGGAAGCTCCAGAGGGAAGGGTAATACATCTCTGACACACAGACAAAATATAATATTAACACTAACATTAGTTCTTGCAGGTGAATACATAAATACAGACAATGATCGATGTAGAAAAGGAGGAAAAACTGATGTTAAAATGCCGTCGAAATGAAGGTAAGAAAAATAGACAAAGAAAAGGATGATAGAGAACAGTTAATGAAGAAGGTTTAAATGAAGACCAGATGAGGCAAATGAGAATGAGGAAGAGATTTTACCTGCTGACACAGTAGAAGGAAATTAGTCTTGGGAGATCTGGAAAGCTGATGGCTGAAGTCTCCAGAGACAGAGCTGGGGGTGAGGAAAAATCAAAGGTGAGAGAGGGGGAGAAGGGCAGTTAGTGTCAACAATGTGGTTGTACTGCCTCCTGGGTCTTATTACTGGGACACTGGGTGTGTGGGCATAATGTCAAAATACTTTGAAACACTGAAAGTTATGTTCCCTTTTTATCTAAAAACCAATATGTATATACGATACTGTGTAATACTGGAGCAAAGCTGTGTTAAAGGACCATACCAGTACATTTTATAAAGTGTACATAAGCTTTTTCATTTCAGCATTAAAGTAAAGGGACTTTCAGGGAAAAACAGGACCAGTTACTTTATAAGATGTTATAAATACTGTAAAGCATCCATGATTAGTGGTCAATGGACTGACATAGGTACAGTAATTAGTTACAGCTTGGAACTTGTGTGAAATGTGTGGAATCAAGCGTGTTTTGTTTGGGTAACCAAAGAAAAGTATATACATGGCAACCTGCTAGTGCACTCAGTCAAGATCTTCACATGTGAGTCAACATGTATGACTAAACATTTCTGTTCCAAAGGAAAGGGAGTCAGCCAGTCAGACTGGTTGGTTGGTCAGACACAAAAATCACACAGTCTCTTACTGGATTGTTCCTCCCTGATACCAAACTGCTGAACGAAGGATGGCACGCTGTCATCCGCCAAACGGAGACAGAGCACATTCTTCTGGGATGTGCGAGACCTACGCACCAGGAACGTCTGCAGGACAACGCAACTGATTACTGAGTGAATTTGTGAGTGTGTAGAACATGTAAAGAGAAGGAAAAGAGTTATACAATGTGTAATGTGTGTGTGTTCAGTACTGTGTAATATCAAGTGTATGTGGCTCTGACCCCAGGAGGCTCCCTCTGAAGTATGTGCAGAGCAGTGGCAGGGTTGATTGACAGCTGAAGCCAGACAGGAACTGTGAGCAGGAGACGGTCCAGTACGCTGATGCTTCTCAGAGATCCCCGTCCCCTTTGATGACCCAAGGACTTGCACTTCGTGGGCTCTGGGAAGTCATACAGAGGCTCTTCTTGCTGTGCCATCTGCACACACAGACAGACAGCAAGAAGTACACATGCTCATTTACTGATCCTGCACTCCCATAGTTAATGCATCCCACAGGTGCTTATTTTCTGTCCCTGTGGCTCACATTCACAAAAGGAAGATGGGTGGGATGGCTGCACACACACAGACACAGACACACACCTGTGTAATACTGTGTGGGTGCTATGTGATTTCCGGTGTTGTTGGATTGGACGTGCTACGGTAAGCGTACTCACTTCTCGGTTGTACTTCCTGCTCTGTTACACTGTTTGGTGTGTAGTTAGTGAAGCTAAATATAAATTAGTTTTACTCGTTACAGCGGTTATTTACCCGCTTAACATTTAAACGTAGACTAGTTCTACTTAAACACTTGGAGTTTCTCCCTTTTAGGGACTTTTCACTACTTTCAAGTTTTTCATACACTCTAGTTTCATTAGATTAGAGTTAGCTATGGCTTCTCCTCTCCCTCTCCTTGTCTGCTAGTGTTTGTTGTTATTCCTCTGCCTCCTTTAAAGATAATGGTACCTGTATTAAATGTAGTTTATTTACTGCGCTGGAGGCGAGGCTTAGTGAGTTAGAGGAACGGCACCGCACCACTGAGATATCTTTAGCCGCTATAGTTAGCCAGCCCCGGTAGCCGGTGCGGTCCGACCGAAGGTAGCTTCTGTTAGCTCTGTAGATCCCCCGGTAGTTCCCGAGCAGCCGGGAAGACAGGGAGGCTGGGTGACTGAGCGAAGGAAAAAAAAAAAGGGAAAACCCCAAAGCACCACCAACCGCTTCACGTTTCTAATACATTTTCCCTCTCAGCGATACACCCGCTGAGGAACCAACTCTGGTTATTGGCAGCTCCATAGTCAGAAACGTGAAGTTAGTGAAGCCAGCGGTCATAGTTAAATGACCCTGGGGGGGACATTGAATCAAATTTAAAACTGCTGGCTAAAGATAAACGTAAATACAGTAGATTGTTATCCACGTCGGCGGTAACGACACCCGTTTACGCCAATCGGAGGTCACTAAGATTAATGTGGAGTCGGTGTGTAACTATGCTAAGACAATGTCGGACACCGTAGTTTTTTTTCGACCCCTCCCCATGTGACCAGTGATGACATGTATAGCCGCATGTCGTATTCCACCGCTGGCTGTCGAGGTGGTGTCCAGAAACGATGTGGGCTTATTGATAACTGGAAGCCTTTTGGGGAAAACCTGGTCTGATTAGGAGAGACGGCATCCATCCCACTTTGGACGGAGCGGCTCTCTTATCTAGAAATATGGCGAAGTTTATCTCTAAAACCTGACAGTCCAAGTAAGGACCAGGAAGCAGAGCTGCTGTCTTACACACTCTTCTCCGCTTTTTTTTAAAAAGTCACCCACCCAAAACCCCATAGGGAGACTGTGTCTGTCCCCGACCACCTAAACTATTTAAAGAAATAAAAACAAGAGGAGTTCAACATAAAATCTAATAAAAATTAAAACCAACTCCTCAGTAGCACAAAATAAGAGAATGAAATGTGGGCTGTTAAATATCAGGTCTCTGTCCTCTAAAGTGTTCTAGTGAATGAATTAATATCAGATTATGATATTGATTTACTTTGTCTTACTGAGACCTGGTTGTCCCACGAGGAGTATGTTCCTAAATGAATCCACCCCCCAAAATTAAAAATAAAATTCCCCGAGGCAAAGGCCGAGGGGGGGGAGGAAAAAAAAAATATTATTTGAGGTTTTAATGGACCCTAAACCTAAACTAAATTATAATTCATTTGAAAGCCTTGTTCTTAGTCTTTCTCACCCAAACTAAAACTAGCATTTGTTATAGGTTTCTGAATTTTCAGAGTTTCTATCAAGCTTAGTCCTTAAATCAGATAAAGTAATTATTGTAGGTGATTTTAATATTCATGTGGATGTTGACAATGACAGCCTTAGTAATGCATTTATATCATTAATAGACTCAATTGGCTTCTGTCAGAGTGTAAATAAACCAACTCATTGTTTTAATCACACTCTTGACCTTGTTTTATCATATGGCATTGATATTGAACATTTAATAGTCTTCCCATAATCCTTTCCTATCTGACCATTATTTAGTAACTTTTGAATTCATACTATTAGATTATAAGCCATTAGGCAAAACTTCCTACAATGTTTTCTGACAGTGCTGTAGCTAAATTTAAGGAGGAGATTCCTTCAGTGTTTAATTCAATGCCATGTCTGAATTTAACAGAGTCCTATAACAACTTTAGTCCCTCTGAAATTGATAATCTTGTCGATAGTGCTACAGGCTCACTACGATCAACATTAGACTATCGTCCTATAAAAGGAAATTATTAAAACATAGGAGACTAGCACCTTGGTATAACCACCAAACCCCCAGTTAAAAAAAAAAGCTAGAAAAATTAAAAAAAAAAACAATTTAAAAAAAAATTGGCAGATGATCTTAAGTTTATAGAGGCCCTCTACGTTTTAGAAGAAAATAAGAACAACCCTAGGTTCCCCTCCCCCCCTCTACCCCGCCGAGAAAAAAAAAAAACCCCTCTCCCCCCAAAACCCCATAAACAAAAAAAAAAAAAAAAAATAAAAAACTTTTTTTTTTAAAAAAATAATATTATTAAAAAAAAAAAAAAAAAAAAAAAACAAAAAAAAAAAAAAACAAGTTCGGGACTCTGTCAATGTAAACTTAGATGTATATTTAGACTGTTTTTTTCTATCGTTTCAGTTAATAAACTTCTCGGCCATCAACCTGTTGTTAGACCCGATCCCAACTAGGCTGCTTAAAAAATTTTTCTTATTTGTTTTTTATTATAAATATTTTTTTTAAAAAAAGTCCTTTAAATAGTGTAATTAAACCCTTCTTAAAAGTCTACTCTTGCCCGGGTTTTGACTATGCCGATTCTACCTCCGTTCCTCTCTAAGATTCTGGAAAGTAGTCGCCAGGTTGTGTGACTTTCTACTAGTTTTTTGAGGATTTTCGTCGGATTTGGTTCTCTGCCAGGACAGCTCTGGTTAAGTTAATAATGACCTTCTGACTGCTTCTGACATGGACTTGTCTCTGTACTTGTATTATTAGATCTTAGTGCTGCATTTGCACCATTGACCATGATATTCTTTTACAGGACTTGGCATCAAATTGGCTTAAAGAACTGCCCTAACCTGGTTTAGTCATACTTATCAGATCGTACTCGTTTGTCATGTTAACGATGATCCTCCATAAATACTAAAGTTAGTCTGGGTTCCCAGGTTCTGTACTTGGACCAATACTATTTACTTTATATATGCTCCCTTTAGGCAACATTTTGGGAATCACCCATTAACTTTCACTGTTATGCAGATGATCGCAGTTATATCTTCATCAACCCAATGAAATTAATCATTATCTAATTACAACATGTCTTAGGACATAAATCCTGGATGACCTGCATTTTTGATGTTAAACTCGAAAACCGAATCTTGTTCTTGGCCCCAAAACCTTAGAGACTCTTGTCTAAAGATATAGTCACTCTAGATGGCATTAACTTGGCCTCTAGACCACTGTCGGATCTTGGGTTCTCTTTGATCAGGATTTGTCATTTAACTCCCTAGCAGACCTCTGGGACTGCCTTCTTTCATTACGTAATATTAGAAAATTAGACACATACTATCCAGACAGATGCAGAAAACTAATCCATGCATTTGTTACTTCAAGGCTGGATTCTGCACTCTTTATTATCAGGTTGCCCCAATAAGTCCATTAAAACGCTCCATTATTCAGAACGCTGCAGCACGGTACTGACAGGAACTAGAAAAGAGATCACATCTCTCCTGTACTAGCTACTCTGCATTGGCTCCCTATAAAATGTAGAATTGATTTAAAATACTCCTCCTCACCTATAAAGCTCTCTGGTCGGCCTTTTCTTAAAGGCTCATAGTCCCTTTCCACTGCCTACGTTTCTGAATGCTGGGCTACTTGTGGTTCCTATAGTCTCTAAAGTAGACGGGCCAGGCCTTCGTTCCGCTCCTCCCTGTGGAACCGGCTTCCGTTGTGGTTCGGGGGCGACCCTCCCCTTTCAGAGTAGGCTTAGACTCCTCTTTGATAAAGCTTATAGTTGGGCTGGATCGGGGTCCGACCATCCTGTTTGGTTAGGCCTGACTTGGGGATTTCCTGGTGCCTGGCTACTCTCTCCTCCTTCTGCACTTTCATGTACCTTTAATGCATGTTACTACTCCACTCTCCCGGGTTCTGTGCTTTCGTCTGCGGTTCTTGGTCCTGGTGGGCCTCCTGCCATGGTCCTGTTGCTGCCTTGCATACGTTGTTGCTGTGCCCTGTGTCTGTGTCGCCCCCCCCCCCCCCCCCCACTGGTGGACAGCGCCACCCCCGCCGGGGATCTGTCCGGTTTCTGCCTTTAACAGGGTTTTTTTGCCCTTGTCGCGTGCTTGCTCTGGTGGTCTGTTGGGTCTCTGTATTATGTTGTTCGGTCTGACCTGCTCATTTGAAGTGTCCTGGTAACTTCTGTATGATTGGCGCTATACAAATATTGATTGATTTGAATTAATAAATCTACCTGGATTGGGACAGCAAGTCTAGACTTGGTAAAGTGCAGCAGCTCAGACACAGCTTAAAATGAAATAGGACGCTATGGGAAACATAAAAAAACAAAACATATAGGCACACAAACAGGATAGAAACACGCCACAGAAGGCGGTGTTATAATAAATATTAAAATAAAGACTCGATATTGGCTTGAGGCTATTATTCTGAACGTTTCAAAACTCTGTCTCCCTACATGTCAACATCTGCCTGGATCCGCAGTGCACATTCCTGTAAAACTACAGATTTCCTCTTGAAGCTATGCTGCTTCCTGCTGTACAATCACACAACTTGTTACATCTAACATGTGTACTGCGGAATTCTCATTTCAACATTACCAGAGTCGTTGTTTACCTCTTTGCCCGATCCTTCTTCCTTTTTCCCCCTTCCTCTTATCCCCTCCGGCTCCTCTTTATGATGGCATGATCCTTCCTCACCAGTTCAACTTTACCACGATGAAAAGTCAACTTATCTTTCACTTCGGCCAGTCATAACCTGTGTTTCCAAATCCGGAGCTTCTTCTTTGGCTCCTCCTCCCCTCCCACCTGGAAACAAAGACGTCATCATCCTGTCATACTGTATGACATTAGAGCTGGACTCGTGTTTGAAACGGAATAATAATTATAATAATCCTTATAATTAATAATAATAATAATAATAATAATAATAATAATAATAATAATAATACTGTAGTTAGGCCTGACTAAAAGTAGTTTAACTTAAATATAATAGTAGTAGTAGGTAGTAGTAATAGCAAGTTGTTGTTGTACATAATCCAGTGGCATACTTAGCCATTTTTAACAGGAACAGTATTAATGTTAATAACGTTAACAACAGTATACCTAAAGCTAAATGGTTGAACAACACATCCCTTAGTCTCCTTTGTCAATAGTAACCTTGCAATTAACTTAGGTCCAGCTAAATGCATGCCAAAACCACAACAATAATATATAGGTTATATATTATTATATTATATATGTAATAATGTAAAAGAGCCATAGTCTTTGTGGTCTGTGAACTCCATCGCACTTCAATAGAGTTCTACAACTGACCTGTGGGGGGCAGCAACATGCCTTTGTCGCGTCCAACCTGCCGCAAATATCAACAGAAGAAGAAGAAGAATCCCGTCACGAGCCATCTTGTGCAAACATGGTGGTGAAACTGGAGAAGCTGCGCCGCAATGGCTGCCGCCAGCGCACCTAAAGGACCCGGAGCCGGATGTGATGTTTGAAATACAGCTCCAGGACCGCGTCGGGTAAGAAGTCTGTGCAGCTACTGTGTTGGCAAAATTAATGCCTTTTCCCACCTGTTTCTCTAGAATAAGAACCGATAGGATCAACGGTGTTTGCTGTAGTTTAAGATACCTCGTGGCGCTGGTGGAGCGGTAGTTTAACCAACCGTTTTCAACCGCTGTGATGAAACCACTAACTACGTTAGCTTAGCTTAGCTTAGCTTGACGTTAGCTACCCCGTTAATGTTTGCGTTTAACAAAATGGCCAGTAGTGTCAGTAGTAGTTGTTAAGCTGACTGTCGGTCGTGTAGTTGAGCTGCCGTCTCCTCGTACAACCAGTGTTATGTTGCCGTGTAGGCGTCGTTTGTCCGGCATTAGCTAGCTAACCTAGCCGGTACACCGGCTGCCTTAATGTCACCGGATCCGTTTTCGCCGCGAAAATTAACGGTTTTTATTAGCTTAGCTACTAATACCCGAGCAGCTACCGTGAATACGCTTCTTACCAGACAGCAATGTGATGAATCAAATTCTAAACAACCCCCCCTCCATCTGGCAGTATCACTTTTTTATCTGAATAAAATCAACTATAATCAACCACCTGTGATTTTTCTACAGAGATTCACTAACTTAACCACAGCGCCCTGTTCCACCACTGTTTTACAGATGACTGGTTGATACAGAGATGAGCGGTGAGAACGTGAAGTTGTTTGTGGGAAACCTTCCTTTAGATGCAACTCACGACGAACTGACCAAGCTGTTTGCTCCGTATGGAGAGATCAACACCTGCTCTCTGCTCAGACAGTATGCCTTCGTTACCCTGAGGGGAGAGGGGGCAGCAGACAGGTGAGGAGCTGTTCACCGTCAGGGTTTTATTTGTTATTGTAGAAAAATGTTCTGACAATGCCACTATGCTCAATAGGTACAATAATAGGGGATGGGTATGTTTATTAAATTCCTGTCACTTTTGGATGCATTAAACAGAAATGTGTCTTTCAGTTGTTGCTGCTACTATCAGTGTGTTTTTAAACATAACATTAATTATAAGTGTGTTCATCCAGAAGAAAAATGTATACATACATGGCAAAATATGCATATATAGTGCGAGATTACTTTAAAAACTGTAAAAATATTTCTGTAAATGACCATGGATGTTGCAATAATGGAAGTGCAGAGTATTAGTTATATGAGCAGTAAAAAACACTACAGAAAAGTACATTTAAAAAAATATTATTATGAACAGTTTAATAATTGACATTATTATGAAAAATTGTTACAGATCAGTGTTACTATGTTACAAATTATGAGCATGTAATAAATATATATATTTTTTTTGACCATACAGTGTTTATAAAGCACTATCCTAATCAAGTCCTAATTTGTGTCAATAATAATCAAATACAAGAGCTTGAATGTTAAACTTTCCCTTTACTCTCTCACAGGGCCATACGGCATCTGGATGGCAAAGAGTACAGAGGCAGGCCCCTGGTGGTCGAGGAGTCACGTGCACGCCCACCCAACTCCACTAAAGTGTTTGTGGGGAACCTCAGCGCAACATGTTCAGCAGATGACTTGCACGGGCTGTTCTCAACCTTCGGAAGAGTTTTAGACTGTGATAAAGTCAAAGGTCAGTTAGAAAGACCATCGCCATACTGATTGTATGATACAAACATATGTACAGACGGTTCAGTGTCTTTAAAGATAATAATGCCCAACAAAAAGTGACAATGAAAATATGATATAGATGCATTTTATTTTGAAATCATACTAACGCTGATCTCCCTGCTTCCTTTATACCCTACAGCCAGATTATGCTCAAATGTTGGCTATGCGTTTGTGCATATGGAGAGGAAGGAGGAGGCCCTGGCAGCCATTGAGGCACTCAACGGGACCATGTACAAGGGCCGTCAGTTGGCCGTCGAGCTGTCCAAAGCCCAACCTTTGATCAACCAGATTGGATCGGCTGGAAATTCAGGCAACCCCGGTAGTGTAACAGAAGGTGGAAATGAAGGATCCATTTGTGACAAAACACATGTTTTGCGTACAATTAAATGCTAAAAGCTTGTTTTCTTCTTCCTTCTCCTTGTAGGTGGCAGGGAGGGTCTTCTTCCGAGACCACCTCCATCACTAGAGCATCACCAGAGTCAAGCAGCTGTGCTCGCAGCAGCTGCAGCGGCTGCGGCTGGACTACCTATACAAGTATGTTAATTCTCTAGCAGGGCATCCACCGTCTTAGAAAAAATCCAACTTATCATCTCTAAAAACTGAGAAAAACATACCAGCTCATGATCCAACCTGGTCCCTTCCCTTCCCATTATCATTGTATAGATAAATAAAAATGTAATTAATTAAAAATGTTTTAAATGCTTTCATCTTTCTTTGCAGGTTCAACAAAGTGTCCATAACTCATTCTACAACACCACGTCCTTTGACCCCACCTACGCTGCTCTAAAGGGCATTACAAGTGCTAAAGGTGCAGATGGGGTGATATACGGTGCTCTTGCCAGCCAGGTGTATGGAGCCGTTGCTGACCAGGTGTACCAAGATATTGCCAATCACAACCCTGGATCCAGCGCCATTGTTGAAGAAGTAGAGCCACCGTCTGGACCAGATCCAACAACGCTTTTCGAGGCAGCAAGAGCGAAGTTCTTTCAGGAGGGACAGAAGGTAATTTATTTGAGTAACAATGTATAATGTTCTTCTAAATTTGTTTTTTTTGTGTTGTACCTTTTTTATATGTATATTAACTTACATACTTTCAACTAAAGGTTCTGGCAGAGCAGCAGGCAGGGAGAAAGGCAGCATCTTCAGATAATGAGCGGGACCGCAGCCCAATCAGAGGAAATCGAGCCCCCCTCCTCCCCGACCCCGTTCCAGGTTCCTTCGCTCAGATTCGACCCAAACGCCGCGCCCTGCTGCCAACACCACCTGGAGGACCTGAAGAGCCCCCAGCTGCACCCACCACTCCTGAAGGGTCAGATCCTGTTGCTAGGTACACATAACACATTTTGATATACAATGAAGGCAGATGAAAAATAACCACATTAAGCCTGCTTCCATTTGCACATATAATAACAATTACAACAGTTTTTTTAAATTGTAGCACTGGTCAATGACTACAAAGTGCTTTATAAGAACATATATATATTTCACATAAGATGTGACTTTTACACTAATTTTGCTTTGTTCTTCTCTTAACTGTAAACTACACTCCAGGTCTTACACAGAGTACTACCAGCAAATGCATCAATATCAACAGTACCAGCAACAATACCAGCAACAGTACCAGTACCTCCAGTATGCTTACACCAATCCCCCTCCTCCTCCGCCACCTCCTCCGCCTCCACCAGCCACCACACAGGCACAGGCCTCCACCACAGCCACTGCACCCCCAGGGACATACTCGGCACCCCCGACCTATGCCGTATCGGGAGCCTATGCAGCACCGGGAACGTATGATGCTTCGGGAAGTTACAACGCCTCATCGGGGGGCTACAACGCTTCATCTGGGAACTATGATGCCTCGTCCGGAAGCTATGACGCATCTGGAGGCTACGGGGCACCGGGAGCATATGATTCATCAGGAGCTTACGCAGCAGCGGGAAGCTACTCCACATCCACACCGTATGAGCAGACACCCGCACACGGGCAACCCATGCCCCAGCGCCATGATTACCCTTACCACACGCCAGAACCCCCATATCGATAGTCCCACCCCCAAACACTCCTTCCACACTGCAGATGTGTGTGTGTGTGTGTGTGTGTGTGCGTGTGTGTGTGTGCGCGTGCGTGTGTGTGAGCGCGTGCGCATGAGTATTTACATAAGGGACAGTTTAAAGGGGAAAATCAGAAAGGGAGAACGGTTGTAATTCGAATGTGCTTTAAATCTGAAGCGTCTCCCCATTTCTCCACCTTAACCTAGTCTCTAGTTTGTCGGTTAAGTTAAGTGGGTGATGTAAGATTAACAAGGTCTTTGGACAAGTTAATATTGTCATTCACAGTTTCTGTTGGGTGTTATAGAGGCACAGCTGGTTGCTTGTTGAATGTTAAAGAAGCTGAAATGTGTCTTGGGTCAAAGTTGGACTCAGAGACCAGGGTAGGATCTCATAGGAGAAACCTTTTTGTTTTGTACCGGATCAAGGCCTTTTATATACTCTTCAAAAAATGTGCACAAAGTAGATTTTCTAGTAAAAGTGCATCGCAAAATTGATGACAATAATTCATAAACGGCACAACCACACATTTTTAGGTAGGACACAAAATGAAAAAAAAACACTTCTAAATTATTACATAATGATAAAAACAGATGATTTGGTGCTCTGACAAAAATGGAAAATTATCCATCTGGCATGTTTCTACTACTTTTCACTGAGAGAGCTTCAGCTCATGATCATTTTAAAATATAGATCCAAACCCACACATTAGTGTTAGTGCAGGAACACCCTGTGTGGAGTATGTAACAGCCCTCGGCTTGAGTTCAGCTGCATTTGACCCTAATGTAGTAGCCAGTCTGTTCGTCCAGACATTTAACTACCCAATAGTACATGTCGGCTAGAAGAGAAAGCAGAACGGAAGTGAAATTGTGTTTGAGTGTCACATCAGCCAGGTTTTGTTGCGTTGACTGAAGAACCGTTTTGTAAAAATGGAGAATGTTTGTTAATTGACTAGATTGTCTTTCAGGATGGATTCACAGATCTGACAGGCTTAGTGCTACTCAAACCATTCAGGTTCAGTTTATTGACGTACAAGCTTGTCGCTTTGGTTATGTTGCAACCCCACTAACTCTAGTATAGCCTACCTGTTGTTTTCAGGGTGTGAAGAGTGACGACAGAACATTTGTAGTCCACTCAGGACTTCCTGTTTAAGTGAGTTTGTTAATGTATGATGGATATTACCAGTCTTTGATTGTGTGCTTGAAGTTTCAAAGTTAGGAAGGATAGCAGAGTGTGAACTTTTGACACGACTGTGATAACAGCAGGGTCAAAATACAGTGCAGATATCCAAACGTTTTCAGCAATTAATGAATATTGAAGTATACGACTTTCTTGGGAGCGGTTGACCATAATTTACCTTTCTTGTGTTGTCTTGCTTAGCCCAGGCTGTCTGTGTGTCTTGAGGTTTACGCAAACAAATTAAAATGAAGCAAACAAGTCCCACTCTCCGGAGTTAAATATGTTCTGTCAGAGATTTTGGTTAAAGGTCTGTGTTTGCCTCTAAAACATTAGAACAGAAGTAATTCATCCATCTTTCTTTATTTCTATTTCAGTTTTGTGTTGAATTGCTAACAGAGCATCTCGTGTGAAAAGGAAATTGAATGCATTCACATATTCCTCTACTTTTAGGGTAATTCTCAGTTGATCCAAGGTTACAAAGACTACAAAAGTAGAGTTGTTTTTGCTGGTTTTGTATATACTTGAATTTATAAAAGTCAGAGGAATGGCAGCAAGCATTGTTTGGCCATTGATGTTAAAAACAGGAGCGATATAGATACTATCATTAGCTTTTGTTCCAGTCCCAACAGCTGCTGTCATACTTGTGTTCACATTGGAAACCATTGAGGATTTTGGAGGGAAAGTTGAGCTAGTTTTCATACCAGAAAATGTACAAATTGGTACTCGTGTAAATACATAAACATTATTTTAAACTGAAAGTAATGCCAACCAACATTTGGTTGAATGGTAAGAATACTGACTGTTAATATTGAGATGAAGTGATTGTATTTCTTCCTTAACAGTTGGAGATGGTGAATAGAAGAGAAGAAGTAGGACAGTTGAGTTGTTGTACCGGGAAGGGATCACCTTCATGCTTTTAGCATGTAGTATGTGGTAGGTGTGTGATCTAAACCCACTGTAAAATCTGACATTAAATACAATTTGAAATAGGCGGGGGGGGGCAGTGATTTACCAATTGAGCTGAGAGCAGGTACAAGTGTTTTTTTTTAATGCAGTGGAGTGGTGTGTTGCTGCTGTGTACAGTGTAGGGTTAACGACTGTGTGGGTATGAGGTGACAGTCTTGGTGCTTGCTGCAGGTGAAAATGAAGGTTGTTTTGGATTTTAGCAAAGGCCGCTGATTTTCCCGAGCAGCAGTAAGAAGGGCAGATGACCTTTCCTTTTCCCTCTTCTGATCTCACCAGAAACACACACACACACACACACACACACCATTTTTACACAGGATTACTGGCTTTATCTGCATTCATACCATACCTAGATAACCCCACACTCGTATCTAGATGTATTTTGACTGGATTCATTGCATTACTCATGTAAAGAAAAACTACATGTGCAAATGACACTAATGCACACCTGATTCCACCTGTATTTTTCATGACAAACAGTAGCTGTCCTGTTCGTGATTGTACATCACACTAGTAACTCATCTTATTTCTTATTTGCCACCTGAGTTGGTAGTGCTTTGTTAGGTTTAAGTGACACATAGCCTCTCTAAATTTCCACATTATTCCACCTTCTCCATGTGAACTGTTAGTTGCATGCCTTGTTGTTGCTGCTGCTCCAGCCACCTTCTTCCTCTTGCTGATTATTGCAGCTAGAGTGGGAGGGAGCCAAACTGAGCCCTTGCCCTGGACGTACGCCACACGCAGCTGTAGCGTGGGATGGGGAAAACAGCAGCGTTAGGCCTGAAAATGCTGTGGACGATGGGGTGTCCCCCCACTAAGGTAAACACTCAGACCACACACTCCTGCCCCTCCCCGAAACACGCGTACACACTCACAAATACACTCAGACACACATACAGATACACCTGTGTCCATACTTCCTATTCCTTACCTGTCTTCAGGAATTTTTCTTTGTCAGGATTTCAGATTTTTGGAAATGGAGCACCCGCCGTTTTTTAATGGGAGATAACCACCTTTTTTTTTCTCTCCTGCTTTTGATTTTCCTGATCATATCCCTACATTTTTCCCCCCAAGCATACTCTGCTCATACATTCCTGCTCCCAACATACTGACCGCTCACACACACAAGATTTGGAGGATACTTCTTTTAGTGTAAATCTGAATCAGTCAAGCCCATCATTCAAGAGTACCAGGCAATCACAGCCAGAGCTGGACGTGGAACATTTAGGTAGGGTGGGTTGTTTTAGTTTTTGTAAATGCGCCCCTGGGGCCACTTCGGGGTTAAGTGCCTTGCTTAAGAGCACATCGGTAGGCCCTTCATTTCAGAGTTGAAAAACCTGGCTCAGGATCGGTTGCTGGTTCAACGCTCGACTCCCCCCTCCCCTAAAACGACGATTTTTGATGCCACATTCAACTTGTATGAATGACAATGAACACAAATATTATCATTTTGTTTTAAATTACATTTTGTCCTATGTTCTTTGAAATGTTTAATTATCAATAAATGAATTTCAACTGAATTATAGCTTCTGTGTGAATATTTGAAGATGCAAGTTTTACAGCGTTATCATGAATCACTGCTTAATGGATGTATTATTACTATTAAAGTGTCAGTGGAGGAGTCACCAAATAACTATTAAGAGGTCAGCATCAGATAACGTTTTATTCCATTTTCTTCCAAAAACATCAACCTATGCTTTTAAAATAAAAACCAATAATTTGATAACAATCCAAACCTGTTGATAATTCAATCACTTTGATATACAAAATAAAATGAGAAGAAATTGAAGGTATGGAACCTCACTCCCTGCTAACAAGACTTTTTCATGGACACTGCTGAGTTTCATGCCCTCAACAACAATGAACAGTTTACAGATGGACACTAGAGTACTGAATGGGTGTAGTGAATGCAGTATACACAATACTGAGGGTATACTGAGGTAATTGATGATTAGGCCTATGTGCGTAAATGGATGGCGGGTGGAGTGTGAAACTGCATAGACATCATGCGCTTTTCACTGGCATAACGACACGGAAATGCAGTTTCCGCCCTGGTAACATGTAAGTCTGGTTTCCAGCTGCCAGATTAGTCCGTGAAGTAGCTTCAGTGATGAATACAAAGGTCTGTTTTGTTAGGGGATCCTTGCGGAGTGTCTGCACACACTGAAGAAAGTAGTAGTAGTATTTTATGAAAAATACAAGACTACAAGTTCACCACCTATGTCCTTTTTGTAAAGAGTGCAGGTAGGAATATCGTGTGCACTGACTATTAGTACATACGTGTTTTAGTTGCTTTTATTAGACTCATCTTTTCTCAGACTACTAATTCTGAGAAACTCATCTGAGGATGCTTCTAGTTTACCTTATAGGTTTTATGCTTTAATCCTTACATTGATTTAGCAGGGGCGAGAAAAATTAAGGACAGTTAATTCTTGATAAAGAAACTGCCCTGCAAAAAATAAAGTGTACAGAGAGACGTGACGGATAGATATGGGGATACTAAATTTTGTCAAGTATTTTAACCACCTACACTTAAATAGTGGGGTTAAAAAACAGCATCATAGATCTCTAAACCCCATGTCAACGTCTGTACACTGTCGGGCTTCCAGAATTGTCGCAAAATAAAGTTGAAGCTTCTTCCAAGCCTGGTTGGAAACCAGCCCGTGCTTTAGAGGATGACTGGGAAAGTCCAGTTGATGGCAACAGACAAGACGATACTGGGCAAACACGTTAAAAACACCACACAATATGGACCAGACCAAACACATATTACAGTACTTTGACTTTCAATCACAACCTCCCATGATGCTGCTGGCATAGTATGAAAAAGGAGCGAGCATTCAAACACACGTATTGAAAATAGCAACGCTTTAATAAAGAGCGATTTTACAAGACTGCAATGTCTAGCTAGCTAGGTGATAACTGGCATTGACATCCATGGTGTTTTACAAAGATGCAGTGATGGTAACTGGGTTTGAAGTTTGATGGGTAACTTGCAAGTTGCATTTCTGCATGCGAGGCAGCCTTCAAACAGTTACAGACCCTACATTGTAAAACAGTTGATTATGAATGTCAATGAACGTTCATGTCAAGAGGTAAGTAAAAAATTTCATGGAGAAATTTCCTTAACATTTTCCAAACACACCGGTAAGTGAGAGTTCACACAATGGTCATGCTTTTACCGGGCACACAAGCCAATAAAAAGACGACACTTAATCATGCAAAAAAAGACAGTTTCTCTCTAAAAAATAAAACAAAACAAAAAAAAAAAATCCTTTTGAGTTCTGATATCATCCATCCGTAGTGACCTTGAATAAGAAGAAGCTGCGCTTTGATGATGACTTTGGTGCAAAAAAATGTTCCTGTTTCGAAGAGGACAGACCCTGTCCTGTCCACTTCCTCGATGAAGACACTCTTGGTATAGACCAGTTGTGATAGTTTACCCTTGACCCCTCCCGCCTCCCCAACCCCAAACCCCTCCCCCTTTCCTCCTCGAGATGGACACAAACATCAAACCCACCCACCCACCCACCCATCCCTGGATGATGACACCTTCAAAATACAACCATTCAAACACAGATACAGCAATAAATTGTCCCACGTACAGTACGTCATCCAATGGGGCTTCGATCACTTTACAGAGAGAGCACGTCTAAAAACACATGAACGGCATTACCTATATACAGAGGACACAGTAACAGTCAGAGGTTGGCCCAGGATGGATCGAGCTGCGTCGTGGGAATGAAGTGCACAATGAAAAGAGCATTCAGCTGACGGAGAAAGACAAACCACTGAACGACGAGTAATGAAGGAGAGTGAAAACGACAATTTTTCCAAAGGAGATATCCAAATGTCAGCTGGCCTCTTATTTAAGAAAAGTCAGAGAATATCTGCCTGCTTGGTGACGATTGCTAACACTGAAGTCTCGCTCTGCTGGTAGTAGAGTCGTAGCTGCAGGAAGATTGGTTTTTGCGTAGCCAGCAGTTACAGTTCAGGGTGAATTGCAACAGTACGCCACCATACAGTCGCAATTCTCTGACGATTTGTTGGGAATCGCCAGCGTGTGCAGCTCCAGCTGTCTGGAGAGGTTTCGCCTCAAGATTCGCTTTGAGATTCCAGGTCCGATGACTGGGGGCTTTTTTTTGTTGATGTTTTTTTGCTTTTTATAGCAGATGAGTGATCCTAGAGCCTCCTTAATTTGATGTTGGGTTGTACAGACTGAGACACGGTTACAATAACACTCACTGCTAAGTTAGTACACGCTACCAGCTCACTAGAGACCTTTCATTTCTAACCGAGGAACATGACCCTGTTTATCTCTATGGGAAGGCATGTGCACACAAACACACATACAGTACATGTACATAGAACAGACACAATCAATAGAAAACGACTTCATCCCCAATCGATTATTGCCCCTTTCAACTGTACATCCCAGCAATGATTTTAGGTTTTTGTGCAGCAGAGCGTTTGTCCCCTCTTCGAAGGTTTGTGCTATATATATATATCGTCTGTCTGTGGGTCTAACTTGACCTTGGATCTGCCAGAAAAGCCACATTAACATTTAACGTCTCATTTAAGCCTCCCATCTCTGTCTGAATTCATCTGTACGTCGTCACTGCAGGCTTTACTAGGGTCGTGATCGACAGACATAACCCTCAGTTGCTTTCCAACAGTCTGGTCCTCATTTGACTCTTCCGACTGACCTTTAGCTGTCCTGTCCATAAATGTTAACACTACATTAGCAAACCCCTCTCTGTGTAAGCAGTGTCTTTTTCCTCCAAGAGGAGGTGAGACATGCTGCGGTAATTACCCTTATCCAGTTTTTTCTGGAGTGTAAAGGACTTCACTGGAGACTAATTTGAGACAGGACGAATGCTCAGGACGGGAAGGACATCATACAATTGGGAGTTAGACCATTTCTGATTGGTCAGACTGATACTTGCCTCCTCACTAATATCCAGTCACCTCTCTATCTGGCTCTCAGTGCATTTGTCACTACTTTTAGAGCAGTACAGGTATAACAAAACAGGTTTAAAAAAAATTAATAAAAAAAACAGAAAACAACAGCTTTTTGTACAGAAACCTGATGTGGACACACAAGAAGTACAACACGACAGCAGGAAACAGCTTCTAAACAGCCTACAGATGGGTGGAGAAGACAGTAAGAGGTTGCATGATATTGCACAGCTGTAGAGGAGCAAAAAAAGAAAAAAAAAAATACACAGTGTGTACAGCACGTCCCCAAGTAGCAAAGTTAGTGTAAGAGGTTTTACATCCAAATGCGATGCCTGGGTCTGGCTCAGTGCTTTCATCAGTTCCAGTGCAGTAACACATTGGTACCTGGCAACACAGTAATGACATCAGGTACCAAAAGAGAAACACATACAGTACATACCCTACACAGCCACGTCCATCCACACACACACACACACACACACACACACACACACACACACACACACCACACACACACACAAGCGTGCCTGCAAAATTATCGTTCCACGCCGGATTCTTGATGTGAAGTTGGCAATTAAGAACAAATGGAGCTCATAAAAAGACTCAAAAGGTAATGTTGATGCAGCACATTTAAATGTAGAAAAAGGAACACGCACACACGCATTCAAATCAATTAATCTGACATCAGGTGATGGATGACACTCACTGGGGGGAACCAATCTGAACAAGATGCTAAAATCACCTACACAGACATACACCCTTGGCAAAGTTCACATTGAATAAAGTGCCAGCAAACAATCCAATCAGAGAAAGAGACGCGTGCCCTCCGAGTTTGATTCGGTTGTGGGATGGAGAGGGAAGTGGGTAAGTTTTTTTGTACAGGAAATTATCGGGATGAGGAGGTCAGTAAGTGGCAATAGAGCTTCTGCACTTCCATAGAGCTGTCAGTCTTCGTAGCGTCATCGCAGGTCGTAATCGCCGCTTGAATTGGCAAATGAGTTGGGATTGATGCAGAGCCTCTGGTGCCTCGGCATAATAGATTCAAAGACAGAGAGATCAGTAGCCACATGGAGAGAGGAGAGGAGATTAGAGGGTCAGGCGACATGGAAACAGATATCAGCATTTCTTCTTTTATCCGTCCTCTGGTCCTCTCGCCCTATTCCTCTCCCCTCCCTTTTCCTCTCTGTCTTCTTTCTTCCTCTGCCTCTGGATTTGGTTCTGGATTTGTTTTCTTCGACTCTTTCTCTCCATCTCTTTCCTCTCGCCTTCTCTCTCTCGGCTTTGCTGCCATGGTTACAACATCATCCTACATGAAGTGCATCTGCAGAAGACGAGGGGGGGGAAATGGAGAGTAATTTAGTTCAACAAAACACCTCATAAAGTGTTCAGGCATCTATTGACGACAATATTACCTGCCGCAGTGCCAGGAAAACAGCTTCTCAGTAAGCGTGAGTGCTCGGTAAGCAATTATATTACTGTGTTGTGTTTTGAATAATTGGTCAAAATATACTTGTTTGTTCTCCTCGCGGTCTCGCAGTCACAGCCTTGCTGTGAAAAACACTTTTTTCCGCACTTGTTGGGTCAAGAATAGCTATGAATGAGTTTGTCAGTTATACCAGAAGGATACGTAAACCAATCAGCCATAACATTATGACCAGTGACAGGTGAGGTGAATAACACTGATTATCTGATTATCATGGCCCCTGTCAGTGGGTGGGATATATTAGGCAGCAAGTGAACATTTTGCCCTCACAGTTGATGTGTTAGAAGCAGGAAAAATGGGCAGCGATTTGAGCGACTTTGACAAGGTATGGCTAGATGGGTCAGAGCATCTCCAAAACTGCAGCTCTTGTGGGGTGTTCCCGGTCTGCAGAGGTCAGTACCTATCAAAAGTGGTCCAAGGAAGGAAAAGCGGTGAACCAGCGACAGAGTCATGGATCGGACCACACGGGCCAGCCATCGCTCCAAACGTGCATCAATGAGCCTTGGCTTGGATGATCTACTGTAGCTCAAATTGCTGAAAAGGTTAACGCTGGTTCTGATAGAAAGGTGTCAGTACACACAGTGCATTAATGACCACCAGGGTGCCCAGGTGGTCATAATACTACGGCTGATCGGCGTACAGTTCTTATGCAGTTATACTTTATATCAATGTAGGATGTCCAGCTCATTCTAGTCATTTTGTGATAAAAAAATGTTTTATGTGCTCTTACTTGGTCTACCCAGTTTTCTTATAGCTACTACTTCCCTTTAAGCAACATTTTGAAAGCATAAAAGTAAGAGCAGCCCAATATTCAGTCAACTTTCAGTTTGGATTGTTCCTCCATGGCCTCTTTATTGCCGCCTTTATCTTATAAGATAAACTGAATTCCTGAGAGATAGGTTTTTATTAGTAGAAGTACAAGATTTTTCTGAAATAACAAACATAATATCAAACAAACTAAGGTTAAAAAAAGATCTACTATTACACTGCATTGTAGCCGATTGTCTGTAATTTGCTGTGTATGTGTGGGACCAAGAAAAATACACAACTGTAGAAAAAAGAACCCAAATATGAAGAATACACCACCAACAGCAGCAGTCGATGACAGTATTAAAAAGGTAGATTATTGTAGAAATAGTTTATAGCTTTATTTAAGATCTTCTCATTTAACTCTTCTTACAAAATCTTACAAATGTCAGTTCCTGTTCCTTTAACGACAACATGTGCGCTAATATATGTCTGAGTGTGTGTTACCTGTGTCCCCGGGATGGGTCCAAAGGGATTGGTGGGTCTCAGGACAGGCTGGTTGTACATGACAGGCTGTGGGGGCATCATGGGAACGCCCCCCATCTGATGACTCATCTGAGGAGGGAGCTGTTCAGAGGACAGGCGAGTTCAAGATCAATCCCAGCAGTGTATGAATAAAAGCTTTTTGAATGTATGAGATTAGACTGTTCTTTACCATTCCATACACAGGCACTTGGGGTGTCGTCATAGGAAAAGCCATTGGTGCTGGAGCCTGTAAAGAAAAACAGAGTCTTAATCTTGACCTAAAAGTTGAAATACAAACAATCCCAATACTGTCAGCCTCATGTCTGACTTATCAAAGACCCCCCCCCCCATCAAAGACTGAAATGTTTTTTTGACTTTAAACATTTGCATTTGTTTGCATGTAGGAAGACACGTAATCCTGAGCAACAAAAAGAGGTGCAACATTTTAAAAAGATGTACCGAAGCAGCAGATTGGCAGCCTGTAATAACCACAAGGGATGAAACAGCCATGCCAAGGCAGCACAATAAGAACGATAATTCCTCATTCCTCTAATAATTCATATATTGTCAAGAATACAAACAGCATAATAATAAAAAGACCAAAAAGCTTTGATTCTTAAATCAAAGTGAGAGGTTTTTAGAGGATGTCAGAATGAAATCAGGTGCAAAAAAGAGAAATGATGGAAGAGAAGAAAGGTACTTACATAGCCAGTATAGATCATCCCATTCTGTGGAGAGGTGCAAAAAAAAAAAAAAGAGTTACAACAATAAAAGCCATGCTTGTGCCTTTTCTGCAAATGAGCAGAGAAGATAAACCAGACCTTTGCACATTCCTCATTTTCCAATCACTTCTACTTTCTATTCAAGCCGTGCCACCGGTTTTTCTGAGCCATTTGCTGAATAAATGAGCGGTTTGAGTTGAGAGGTCAATCAGTCGAAAATTAAAAGATGAAACCAGATTGAATGGAAGAGACGTGTGGGTAATTAGAGTGGAGCACAAAGGACGGAGCCACATTTGGGTGCTCCTTCAAAAGCCCTGAATGCAGCAGAAAAAAAGTTACATTTGGCCACCAGGTATATTTGATGAGTTTCACTCCAGAATGAGATATCGTATCATTAGGAGAAACTGACTGCACTGACAAAATGATGGATGGCACCAAATTAATACACAATACCACACTTCATAGGATTTCTGCTGGAGTAGTCCAGATTGTGTATAAAATAGAGACTTTGATGTCAGGTTAATTGTATTTTTCATTTTATTTTCTATAGTTATTTTGTTACTACACCCCTGATGTGTTCTTATATTTATTTCAGATGATTTTTGACAAAAAAAAAAGAAAAAATCACTACATAGGGAGGTTTGCCTGAACTATTTTGATAATCAAAATATTCTCTGATTTCAGCTTCTTTAATCTGAGATCTTTGGCTTTTAGACTGTTCGTCCGACAACAAATAATGTGAAGAATAATGTGAAGATGACACCTTGGACTCTGAGAAACTGAAAATTGGATATTTTATAGACTGAGCAAGCTACTTGCAGCCCTACATTACAACAATAAAATAAATGAAAGGTGCATTTAAAACTGTCATCTGTAAAGCCGCTGTTTGTAGATGTGAAGTACAGTGACTGGGGGTGTTCAAAGGTCTATTAATCTAAACTTTAAAAGGGCCCTGCACACAGGTGCCACCTGGTATAGAGCAGCAAGGACACTGAAACCTGCTTAAATGGAACACGTGGCTAATTATCAAACCGAGCTACATACTGGAGATGCTGTGGTAAACTTTATTTTAATCTTTCACAGCTTTTAAGTTTTGGCAGAGACACTAAAGTAGCTTTTCTATTTGGATCCACCACAGCAACTGGTGTGAAATATGTGCTTTTTTTAAGTTTAGACAACTCGTATGACATATTTATTGTCACAACATGGTTAGATTTTGGCATCTAGGCTCCAACCTCATCATTCCCCAATATCTCTATGTACACATATCTCTGGGGAGTGATGAGCAAATACCTTAAACCCCTAACCGGAGCCTACAGCTGGGTGCTGGGGTGGTGGTGGGGCTTACAGAACAGGCAGGCAGCAATACTGATACAGGGCAGCAGCGATACTGACAGAGCAGAGGGAGAGCTGGGAAATTTGGCCTAAATAGACCAAATTGGAAGGGTGTGTTTGGTTTGTGATTATGGAGAGTGAGGCATGTCGTGTGTGAAGCAGTGCAGCTCGAGTTGACTGCCTGAACTAGCTCGCAGGCATTGCTCCATTTGTTTAGTACACATGGTGTTTTACTTGCTGCGCAGAGCTGTTTTTTGTTTGTGTGGAGTGGAGTGGAAGTCACACCCACCAGGCACAAATCTGCACTGTGCTGGTCTGGCTTTTGGAGTGCAGCTAATGATAATGACCTACTCATACCTAACAGGAAAAGACATTGTCTTGACTAGAGGTCTAATCAGGCAACGTAAGTGAAAACAGCGGTGGGAGTGGACATTTGGAAGTATGTGAGCATGCATAACTCATTAAAAAAAAACTTGATGATAACATTAGTGAAGCTTTTATGTTACCATCTGAGGGACGGGCATGGGTGCAGGTGCCATGGGATGGGTGGTGTGAGTCCAGTTGGTGCTGTTGCACATGGTCTTTGACTGCCAGCCACTTCCTCCTGTTGGCTTCTTCTCTACCAGCTGACTCCACTGGAGCTCCGGCCTGATCCACACACACACACACACACACACACACACACACACACACACACACACACAAACACAGGGCATTTACAGGTGCACAGTTTATGCAAAAACCAAAAGAGAAATTGTGAATAAGAGAGAGTGAACAGTGATGAAAACTGGACAGACAGGTGAGTCATTTGCTTGTGGTTAAGTTTAAAAAAAAAAAAACACTCACTTTTTAGCTGGACCCCCAAACTGCAGGTCTGAGAGGAAAAAAAGAAACGTATCATCAGGTCAAAGTAAGCAACAGAGTGAGAGAAGCATATCAGGAAAGACAGAACAATGTCAGCTGAGATATTGTACACTCACTGCCAACGAGGTTGGCTAATGAAGAGTCCAAATCATTGGGCAGCATTTTCCCAGAGTGCAATGGGGCTCCAGGGCTGTGAATCTGAGTGGGTGGAGCTGGCTTTAGCAGGTCACCTGACATCACAAGGTTACCATGGTAACGTGAAAGGAGAAAAGAGGGGAAATGAGTCAAGAGCATGAAGCAACTGGGCATCACTGTCACAGCGTATCCAGCTCTGAGCTGTGTTGTGTTTGTTTGAGCGTGTATGTGTGTGAGTGAGTGGGCACTTATTTGCATGCTTCGTTATCTCTGTGTGTGTGTGTGTGTGTGTGTGTGTGTGTGTGTGTGTGTGTGTGTGTGTGTGTGTGTGCGAGGGCCTACCTCCCCAGGCATTGTTATTGTTGGGCACAGTGTGTGTGGTCTGGATGGGGGTGAAGTTTGGCTGCAGGGTGAACAGCTCACTGGTCAGGTTTGGCACACTGCAGGAAGGAAAATAGAGAGTTTCTCATTTTAGTTTTATGTAACCATTTTAAAAAATCTGATTTATAATGACAGCCAGGCAAAAGGCCTCTTGTTGGATGTATAAAATCAAACAAACTGAAGAGGTTCATAGACAAAACAGAAAACAAATAGTCTTTTCTCCACTATACAGAAGACTTTACACTGTTTTTACACTGTGTGCCTGTGAGACTACCGATGTTAGACTTACTGGTTGTTGACGGTTACGATGGGTGAGTTGGAGAAGAGATCTGTGGCCCCTCCGCTGCTGTTGGCACTGCCCACTGACTGGGTGCTTGGTGACGCATTGGGTGTCTGAATGTCGATCACCTTATGAACGTCCTCCTGCGTGAGAAGCATCAACAGTATAATATGATATTTGCCGGGTTTGCTAATAGCCCTGCAGCACATGTGAATAGTGTTAACCTCCTCTGGAAAAACAACAAGAAAGAAATGTTATCTTTCAAATTAAGTAGTGTAGCCATTATTCATTTCCCCTGTGCTTTAAAAAAAATATTTGTCCTGAATGCACCTTTATTTCAATACTATTTCCACTGCTGAAAGTCTTGAGATTTAATTTTTATTCTCTGTGCATCTCTGTACACTATGGGCCAGCAGCCTGAAACTGTAATGTCACCGTATTTCATTGTATTGCAGGATTAATGCACTTGTCCATTCGACTTCAACAACAGCACGCAGGACAAAAAGACTTGACACAGAGTTTTGTTCACAGTTCACACAAAAGTGACTTCAGTTTGCTTTTCTCACGTAAAAGAAAAGGTAAAAAAAGGTGCACTGGCAATGATGATGTTGTAAATTCATTCGGTGCCGTGTTGTTGGTGTGTTATTAGCTGTCTATCTATATAGCTGTCCTTCCTTCCTGCTGCTGTCAGGCTGTTTAACAACCAGCACCCCCCCCCCCCATCTCGGCATCAATAATGATAATAATGTGCAATAATTACTGTGCAATCTATTGCCCATGTGCAACTGCTACTATTTTGTGTTATTTGTGTTATCTGTTGTTGTGGATTCTTACTGTTTTTTTTCTCTTGTACATAGTGTTTTTATTATTTCCCTACTCTTACTGTTTATTTATACTGTTTTTTTCTCTCTCTATCCACTTTGCTGCTGTTACATTGGAATTTCCCCATTGTGGGACAAATAAAGGAATATCTAATCTAATCTAATCTAATCTAATATACGTATGTGTATGTGAGTTTAAAAATGTCTTGCCTTGTGTTGCTGCAGCCTGTTGTCTTCTGTCTTGTCGTCCATACGGCTGAGAGAGATCCCAGTGCTGGAGAGAGAGGACACTGCACTGGACAAGGTGCTGGATCTAAGGGTGACGCACACACACACACACACACACACACACACACACACACACACACACACACACAAAACACACACACACACACACACACACACACACACACACAAACATATTTTTGCAGAGTCGGCAGAATCTACACGGTTTTTATAATGCTTTGTTTTGTCTGTCTTTTCTCTTTTTATTGAGTTGCACTTTATAGTGTTTTGTTACCTGAACTTTATTTTAACAATACTAAGAATCTACAGCCATGCTAGCAGGGTTGTAATGCTGTAATTCTCACTGTAAAGAAAAGTATTGGACAAATTGAAAGGATAATAATACTATCAGCCAAACGAAGAAAACTAAATCAAGCACTGAGGCTTTCACTGTGAACATAGCCTTAGTTTTTTATTTTGAAATTAAAGTAGTACTAGTAGTGTGACAGTAGTACTAAATTAAGTAATACATGTAAAAGCAATAGTACTATTAGTTGTAATAATTGTAGTAGGGACAGCAGTAGCAGTGATCAGTGCCTGAACTGGACCAAAAAAGGTGCCGGTACCCTAATTCAGCACAACCCAATCCATTTTCAGTGCTTTTATCTCAGCGTTAATCTAGATTTATTAGACTAGATTAGATTATTTATTAGATTTATCAGAGGCAGGTTACAGCGTTATAAAGGGTGTTAAGAGGTGCGTTCCAAGACTCATCTCAATAACACTCAAACTCAATAATGAGTAAGGGTACTAGTGAACAAAGATCAAAAGTGCCAGTACTGGTGCATCAGATCTGCTTCCTTCGAATCTGCTCGTACCTGCTGGCGGTGGAGAGGTCCTTGAGCTTCCTGCCCTCCAGAGAGGCTAGATGCTGCTCCAGAGCCTCCAGGAGAGAGCTGGGAGCCTGAGGGAGGGGGGTAAATGGGGATGGGGGTTGATGGGGTAACGTTAGAACCAAAACCAAGTGGACAAAATGGGACACACTGTCATCTCTCACTCCCATATCCTCACCTCTTCATTTGATCTCACTCACTCACATTCACGCACACACAAAGCAGCAACAAAATTAATCATCCTCGGATTCATTATCTATTCTACGACAGCTCTTTATTCTTTTTTGCATTTGGTTTCATCAGGTTTGGTTGACCAGCATGCACACATCAGCCTTGGATCATGCAAGCGAGTCCTCAGCGGGACTGACAGGTCAGGACAGAGCAGAGCATCGTCGCTGCAGGGCTCGAGAGTAGAAACACAACAAACACATTTCTGAACCATCTAATGAGCCCATGCAGAGGCCAGCAGTGCACAGACACTCTCATAAAACACACACACACACACACACACACACACACACACACACACACACACACACACACACACACACACACACTTACACACGCATACACATAAAGAAAATCAGTCCCAAAATTAAGAGTTAACTCGTGGATTCCACATTAGGTTAAAAGTCAAATTACCGTATTATTCATTTAATTTACTTCTGAAATTAGGCAGCAACTAAACAAAAGAACCAAAATTTTATCCCACTGGAAGCCAAGGAAGTTAACTCAGTGAAATGTAAACATCTGGTGAAAACCAGGTATACACATTGAGCAGCTGGCCAGCACTCTTTATTGGAAAACAAAAAGGATGGATGGGTTCATTTTGACCACATGTGATACCACGGTTTTCATCTAGAGCCTTACATTTCAGCATCGGAGAGCACAATGCAAACACAACAAGCAAAGAAAAGATTTCTCATATACTTATTTTAAGGGGGAAAGAGAGTAAAATGCGAATTCTGGATATCCTTCTTCAGAGAAATCTAGAATATGCTAAAAGTTTAAAAGTAAAACAGACACATATCTAGAGCTCAGTATAGGCATGGGTTGAATAGGGGCATATAAGGTCTTCACAAGCACTACAAACATGGCATTAATTTTTTTTTAAAGTAAGCTCTTTTCAATTTGTTACCTGATTTGTCACATTGTAAATATCCAATCATGTGTCCACTGAAAAGGATAAGTTGTATTGGGGCCTTTAGCATGATGTGCAGTACTTATGATGGCATTATGTACACCTATCCAAGTCATATTTGCAGAAACCTACTTAATAAAAACCATTCGCTGCTCTCCCCACAGCTAATGCAAAGGGACATAGTCTTTTTTCAGGAAATTGATTTGAACACTGCTTATGTGAGCAAAAACCTATTTCATAAAGCTGTGCTGACTTATTTGTATGATAAGCCTTTGAATGAAGAGACAAGCCTTGATATTTACACTGTGAAAATGCCAGAAAGACTGCAGGAAAAATTCTGACAGATACTAAGCCCCGGTCATGGATGTCTAAAATAGAAATATGCAAAAAGAGGCTAAAAACAATTTTTTATTCAGCCGCATAAATGTTGCTCTTAAAATCTTACCTGAGAGTAAAATTTGTTCTACAATGAGTCAGATAAGAAAAAAATGAAATCCTGCACTGATGTTTAGAAATTGTTATTAGGCTATTTGCAGGGCTTCATTTATTGTTTCCTCTCTATTCTAGACTCTGCTCAGAGAGAAAAAAGGTGGAAAAGGCGAAGGAGAGTGAAGAAGAGAGGAGGAGGACGGGGCAGCTGCAGTGTGGGCAGGTCTGTAGGGTGAGTAGGGAACGGGAGCGTTTAGAATGAAGCATTATGGGATTGACTTGACGGATTTAAATACTGGTTGACTGACTGGTTGATTGACTGATTGAGATGAGATGTAGACTGACCTGTGTGAGATCGGGGCTGTCGCCCTGATCTATCCCAACTCGCTGTGTCACAAAAAAGGAGGAGGAGGGGTAGGGGAGGGAGGAGGGAGGCAAAATAAAAAATAAACCAAATGTAATAATAAAACAAGGAATAAACCAAAAAACCCAACAGAGTTTAAAAAAAGGGAAGAGGCGTGTGAAGGAGGAAGAGGAGGAGGAGGAGGAGGAGGGAGAAAGAAGAATCAAACCCAAGCATTCATTACTTCATGCAGTGGCTGGAAAGGAAAACAAATAAAAGACAACAGAGGAGGAGGGGAGGAGGGCGCATGCACACGCATACAAACACCTATATATATATATATATATACACAGTATATGTACACACACACTTATAAGTACACACACACACACACACACACACACACTGAGATCTGGAGACTGGTTTGAAATGAATGCTGAGCACACCGACTGATTGAACAGGCAGGGCAGAGAGGGCAGACAACAGGTCACGTGACTGCGAGGTAAGAAACATCCAAAAGGAAGACACACAACTAATGTTGACTTTGAACAGAAAGACAAGGGAGGGACACAGATGACACACAAACAGACAAACACACATTTTGTTAGACAGGTAAAATGAATGGGTCCTTAAAGTCAACGTTAGTCTGGTTTTTTTTTGGTTTTTTTTTTTCTTTGGATTGAGCGGCTGCACCCCAAACCTTTCTTCCAAATGGGAACGAAACCAAGCAGAGAGAGAAAAGCCTTTGAAGATGGATGCTACGCAATCTACAGAGGATACAACTGTTTATATTCACTGTGATGCCTAGCAAGGACTGCAACTGTTAATTGGATAACAGCCATTATAAAGAGTTTATTTTTATTTTTTTTAAGAAAAAGGGAGGAAATAAAATAAGAGGAGACAGAGATAGTGATAGAAAAAGAGCTTGCTTGGGCATGCAGTGCAGGCATGAGAACAGGCAGCACGCGAGGGGTCCCTCAACTGGAAGCTCTACATGAGTAGCTCTCTGATAGGCTAAGACTCAGCCATTAATCACTGTCTTGGAGTAACCCCCTCCCCAGGTCAGGGCAAGAGAAGGACAGAAACAGGAGAAAATCTAGAGGCAAAAAAAAATTAAAAATAAAAGACTTGGAAGATTAAGGAGAAGAAAGCCCCTGGACACTGATCTACGGTTCGGGAATATCGACCGTAAATCAGATCCCAAAGGGAAACAGAGGTTCTGGAGCAAATCTCAACAGGTTAAAGTGGATTTTTTATTTTCTCTGCAGGTTAAATTCTAATGAGGAAACAAAAGAACATGGAGATATAATGTTCATAGGAGAAAGGAGGGAGACCGTCAAGATTCGCTCCAGATATTCTCGCCCTCTCTGTTTCCTCTGTGGAGGAGCAGCGGGACAAACGGACGTTACCTCTGCCACTTTGAGAAACTCGGACAGTTTGGTCATCCTGTTGAGGAAAGTCTTGTAGATCTCCAGAGCTTCTTTGCACTGGTTCTTCTTCATGTCAAAGTATTTCTCTGTGTATTGGAAAAAAGAATACACATAAATACCTAATAAGATTTATGTTAAACCAGGTTAAACCACCAAACAAGTGTATACCATCAAAAAAAACTGCTTAAAAACATAATCTGATTTGTCCTGATAGGCCTCCACATATGGAAATAAATTCCCCGTAGAGTCCCAGTTACTATATAACCATGGTTGAAGCACCTCAGATCAGGTCCATTAAGTAAGGAATCATTTAATGAACTGTTCTCAGCCTCTGACTCCTCATTGGCTGAATAATTAATGAAAGAAATGAAGGTGATCTTTATAGTTTTTAATTGGACGTTCAGACACAGTAGGAGGAAAAAAAATTGATTTCCCCTTAAAGACCGAGAATTGAGTGGAGTCACAGTCTTGTGATCTCGACATCAGAGGCAGATTACAGCATAAATACAAAACTGACTCAATAGCGATTGTCTCTGGGTCTGCTGTGTGGTGTGTGTGTGTGTGTGTGGTTTACCCAGCATGTTGATGACCCCTTCGTTGTAAGCAGCAAACAGCCGTATGGAGTCTTTAAACAGCAACATGAAAGCTGTGTTGATCACTCCGTTGGTCAGCTCGTTGGAGTTGGGCTGAAGAAGAGAAGGAAAATAAAATAAATTAGGATATACCTATATCGAGATGTTGCAGTGACTGCTGCACGCCCTTGTGTCTTTATGGCAGATGTTTACCTGGAAATCCAGCAGTGCATCCAGCTGGTTCTGAATGGTGGGAAGAGTCTTAATCAGCTTCTCTGTGTTCATGGTGCGCATCACACCCTCAGCCCTGGTAACAAACAAGAATACATGCACACAAACACGCGTGCAACACACACACACAGGACTTATCAGACCTGGACACTAAGGTGTGTGTATAAGGAGGTCCTTGAGAAGCAAAAAGGGTGAAGAAACAACATATATAAGCAAAAAAAAAGCCTTCTCTGTATGACCACTAGCTTATGGTGGCTAATGTTAGCTAACAAACTTTACAGGTGGATGCTCAGTTCACTGACTTTATGACTTTTTTCTACTTGTATCTGTATTTTGTATCATTTACCATTAGTGCATAATTGTGGCCGTAGTAACCACTGTTCTGCCAAAGTAGCATAGGCTAGAAAATCTATTTGTTATATAGTTGAAGTAGAGCATAAAAATAGAAATATATTTAGAGTAACTGCAATCTATTGAAAAAAAGAAATATATATTCTTCTTTGGTTTAAAAGGCCCTTAATACCTTTCCATATATGTATGTCGGTGTAGTGTGTGTAGAGTTTGTTACCCTCTCTTCATCTTGGTGAAGTCCACTGCTGCTAGTCTGTAAGACATGGCTTTTTCATTCAGGTAGCGACTGTAGCGTCTGATGAAAGTTGACATGTTATACCCTGGGGGGGAATAGAGGGGGCGCTGCAGTTAGAGACTGATCACCTTGGAGTATTTCCAAAACAGGTTAAGAAACCATATTTCCTCTCACATGAAATGGACTCTCCATGAGCAATCTGCCCTCCCCCCGTGTGTCAAACTGTCCCTTGCACCATCTCACCTTGAGATTTATTTATTTGTTCATACTTTTGAATATATATAATTACAAAGTCAGTGAGTATGTGTTTCCATTTTCAGTAACATTCAGCCGCTTCTTGTATCAAACAAAAGGAACATTTGTCTGTAGCTTTTCAATCCTGGACCGGCTTATTGATAGTGTTACAGAGCCGGGGAGAGTCCGACATAAAGTCATTTTCTTAGACGTACAGCACTGCTGAGTTTACAAACAGCCAAATGGCATTAAATCACCTTGTAGTGCGGCCTTATCTAGAAAGTTGTTGAGGTTGAAGAGTGTGTTTCTGGAGGCAAGGTACTGCATCAATCTCTGATGGGGGAAAAAAAGGACAAGAGGACAGAGTTAGTGACTTATCTGATGCCGTTCCTTGACAACATCAAGTCATGTCCGCACAGACACAAAAGCAGTGAGGAATTCATTTGTAAACAGGATGTGCAGCTTTACAAGCATTTCACAGGTTGTTGACTTTAAAAGAAAATAGCAGATCACATGCGGGAAAAATCAAATGCCCAGAACTGATGAGGCAGCAGCTGAAGAACGTACATTTTTCAACAACAATCCTTCATTGAAACCACAAATTCGGTTTATCTTGCTCTAGCTTTACCCTCATGTGTCAATAATAACTTATAATATGTTTGTGTTTTGTTTAAGTTAAGGTTCAGCATTGTTCTCGGTTGCCAGGTTGGAGCAGGTCAGCACATGTTAGGTTTTGTCTCATCTTGCATGAGCAATAACAAAAATTCTTAGCAATAAAACCATTTATCAGTCCCTCCAATGCAGTCTGTTTTGGGGGGATTGTTGCGGCCTAAAATGCCTGATTTCACAGCAGCGTTTCTTAAAAAATTAGAGGCAAATGACTTTGGTGGCTCAGAGTTTTCCTTGGGTTACTGCAATGATTGGTGAAACTACACTTATTGGTCAAATTTGCGGAAACAAAATTGCTAGGTTGCACAGAATTCACAGGGATTGGTTTAATTTGCATTAATTGGAGGGACTCATTTACAATCCTCCCGTCTCAATTGGAAGAGCCTTTCTCTCTTTAAAAAATATCCCACTGGTTTACAGGTTTAAGTTATCCCATTCCAGCATCCTGTTTTAACAAGAAATACATCCCATTGAGGAAGTAAATGTGGCATTTCATGGGACTTTAAACCTCACGTCAGTACTCACGTTGCAAAAAAGCTCTCTTATTTAAAATACTCTGTAAGAGCGCTGCCACTGCCTCTCTTTCTAGTAAGAGATGCTCATCATTTAACATGTTTGATGTTTTCTTTGTTGCTCTTGTGGTCTTAGCAGTGTAGTGAGTTGATTTTTCACGCAGGGCCATTGAACTGTCAGCTGGATGCTTCATCAGTCCTTGTTGGACACAAGGAAGATATAGCTTCAAAGAAAGTCGCTGCAAGAGTTGGAGAGAAAATTGCTACAACCTGGCGAGCAAAATGTCAGTCTGGACCGATCAATAACTCGAGCTAGCCGACTGGCAAACGTCCACATCATGTTTGTGTGTGTGTGTGTGTGTGTGTGTGTGTGTGTGTGTGTGTGTGTGTGTGTGTGTGTGTGTGTGTGTGTGTGTGTGAGAGAGAGAGAGAGAGAGCATTAGTTTAAACAGGAAATGTCCTTGTTTCATCCTTTCATTGACTCCTGTGTGCACTGTTCTCACACTACATTAATAGTTTATCATCCACTGCAACCAACGATTATTACATTACCGATAAATGTGTTAATTAATAAATTCATGTGAGTTCAGAGAATCCTCAAATTTAAGAAGCTAGCTCAAGCAAGACTTTTATCTGAATTGTTGATTGGTTTTCTATCCACTGACTGACTGAAAACTGACAAATCATTGGAGTACTAATCTAGTGTGCTCCTCTTGAGGCTCATATTTTCTTATTATAACTGGAAAAATAGTGCACTAAACTGACTGACGGCTGTCAGAGTAGTTTATGCTTCAGAAATAAATCAGAACACCCAGAATTATGAGAGCAATATTTATGAATGGATTAAAAAAAAAATCCCATCTTTTTTAAGATTTTTCAGTTGGCAAAACTGCACCATGTTTGTATGACTTTAACTCAGATCTGTAGCTCGTTTCGAACGGAAAACCTGAGTGAACATGCTCGTAATTACCTCTCATGTTTTGTTTTTATTGTGTCGAGAACAAAAAGACTGAAAATCATTTTTAGAGCTCATTAAACCCAGCTTGTTATGTCAAGATGACAAACTACTTTCTCGTCATCATGAGAATTGGGGAAAAGAATCATCTCTGTCCTCTCCAGACTTCCATATGTCGGCGTGTTCAGCTCACCTCGTTGCCGTACATCATGAGGTGGTGTGTGGTGATGAGCGCTTTGAAAACCACTATCCAGCTGTTGCTGGCTGTGCGCTCCAGCAGTGTGTCTGCCAGGTGGGGGATGCTGACGTTCAGCTCATTGGTGCAGTGGATCAGGTCTAGAGGAGACAGAAAAATAGCATAAAATAATCTGCTAAACATACTGAGAAAACTTTAATGTGAAAAAAGCAAATGATTACTAGAATAAAGTTTATAAAAACGGGATCAAGAGGTTAGAGATTATGTTTAATGGTGCAGGTTTGAACTGGGAACAAAAGCACCAGCCAAAATCATAATTTATAACCTTAAAGAGCTTACAGGTTGAGTTATTATGAATCAATGGAATGAGTGAACAACTATGATGAATGCAGTCTTATCGACCGGTGCATTCATTTTGACTCACCCAATATCAGCATACAAATCAATGAACAAACGATTATTTAATAATAGAGACTGTTTAGACAGATGAATCAGAACCAGTGCTTCTCTATCCCAAAATCCATTTTGTGGCTGTAATTCAACAGCGCTACCTACACGCTTCACCAAAATGCCGATAAAATATCATCTCAGAAGATTGAAAGTTTATTATGAGGTCAATTCTACTCCACCACAATCAACTATCAATCAACTTAATCTATTAAAAGATACATCATTTAAAAAAAACTGTCAAATGAACGAAGACTGATGATAAAAAATGAGTTTTCTTCCAGAGCATCTTTGTTAGCCAAACGTTTACCCTCTGTGACTCCGACCAGATTATAAATTGTCCGTTTAAAGCAAATATTGCTCATCTCAATCAAGAAAAAAGGTTTGTTTCTCAGCTTTAGAAGTCTGACAAATGAAAAGTTAACTCAGGAACTTATTTAAAGGCAGTTTTCAGTTTTTTATTTACAACAATAGGCCCCAGAAATAATTATAGATAACAGGGGATGTAAAATTCAGCAGTGAAAACCAAACACACAGCTAGGACAAATCGGTGAAACAATGCCTTAAATTCTTCAAGGATTTCTCTGGTTTAAGATCAAAATGTGAAGTATGTTTGGCCTCTGTTTAATCTCAAAGATCTACTGAGTCCTAGTTAAATATCCAAGCTTGGGTTTTTTTCTCTAAACTTGACCTTGTGTGTTTTATTGTAAAACCCCTTCATATAGATGGACTGTAGGGTGCATTTACTGCATAGCTGCTCCATGTAATCTCTTCAGTGACATTTATCAGGAAGTCTAAGCTCTTTTCTGATTGCATTTATCTCACTATTTTTGCTCTGACGATTCCCGTTTTAGATTAAAAGACTAAATGTTCTCAGTAATAATGTAAAAAGATTGTGAAGATTATTTAAAACCCAGACAGAGATGTAAGTGAATATTATAAACCACATATTGTGAAGGAACAAGGAGCAAAGTGATGAAAAAGTAGGAATAAATCAACAATATGACCAGATGAGATGACAAAACAAGTGAATCAAAACATTAAAATCAAGATAGGAAGCAAATGTACTTATCAGCAACAAAATCCAAACATAAAGGCTAAAGTTAAAAGGGCTTGACCCCAGGGATGGAGAAGAAGTCAACTTGTATTCAAAGACAGACGGAGAGAGAATTTGTGTTACTGTGAGAAAAAACTTCAAGCAGTTTCGGTTTCTGAGGCAAATCTTTGGTCTGCTTCTTCCACAGGATCAGAGGTTATCAGGGTTTATTTAAAAGCTCTGTGATGTTTTCTGGGCTCGCTTAAACGCTGGATACCACAGAGTCCCAGTTGATACCGCGGTTAAATGTTTAATGCATGTCAAAGGCACCCGGAGCACCCGCAATTCACCACAGCTAATGCTTCAATCCCCTTCAGCTTTATGTTATTTTTGAGTGTGAAAACCACAAAACTGTAACAATATTGATTATATAGTCTTCATCGACTCATCCCACAATGCCTGTCTATGAATTGTTATCGCAGTCAGACTCACAAACCGGTCAAACACATTTTGAATAAATATCCATTATACAGTAATGCTAATATCAAAAAGACCACCTGACTACTATGAATCTGACTGTACCACTGAAGTACATAAAATGGCTACCACCATTTTTATTCTAAGGAATTTATATTTTTCAGTCCGTTCCCCTAATTAAATCTCTGGGCATTAATATCATAACTGTATGTGGTAATGGTAGTGTTCAGTCATGCTTTACACATTGTTAATGGTTTGTTTGTGAATTTCCTTCTGGCTCAGTAATTAATGGGGCCATATTGATTCTTACTAATTAATGTTTCCTGTCAAAACAGAACATATACAAGCACACCAGTAAGGTGGAGACCACATGGCTCTATGGCAGCGTTGGTCCGTGGACATTCATGTTGCCCCTAAAATTAACTGTAAAGACTTTTGTGATTTGTTAACTTTTCCTCTAGCGCTAAATATGGTAAAAAAAAACTATTTGTCCAACACTTTGGTTTCAGCTGTACTCTGTGTTTAGTGCTTATTTGCAAATGTCAGCATGCTAAACTAAGATGATTATGGTAAACATTAGTCTGCTAAACATCAGTGTGTCAGTCTCATTTAGCGTAGTTTGACACCCACTTGTGGAAAAAGCCTCTATTTTAGCTGCACGATGGCAAGCATGCAGTTCATCACTTGTCTCTAAGTACTGTGGAACAGTTATAATTTGTCTGTAACATAAATATGACGGTAACTGCAGCAAATTTATGCCTGTTTTTGTTGTTTTTATGGAGAATTTTTGAATCCTTATGCTAATTAAGAGTAAATTGGCTATAGCTCGACAAGTTAGCTGCAATATTTTACACATTTGCTTTGATTTATTACGTCTTTTTTTATTACGTCCTTACGTCTTTATTAGACTCTGTTAGCTGTCTGTCAGACAGACTAATTCGCATGTTAACATTATTACTGAGAGCATGTTAGCGTGCCGATGTAAGCATTTAGCCCAAAGCACACTAAATACAGCCTCACAGAGCCGCTAGCTTATATTTAAAGACATTATTTGACTTTTCACAGAGTAATAAATAGCAAAGCACTCATGTTTCAACTTGAATACAGTTACACCTAATGGAGCTTCTTCAGTCAAATATTTTCATGCCGGCTCCACCTCTATGTATCCCTGTGGGTGATAATACATCAGCTAGGATTTAATCATCGACGTGTGACAGTGTAGACAGCCCGAGGGATGTGATGAAGTATTGACTCTATGATTGCCAGCTGGCATTATTGATAAGATGAAGTCCATGTAGGAAATAAAGTACATCAATAACACAATTACAAATAAGATTTTAGGAGCGCAAACATTTACACAAGTTCAATTCAGGGTAGTTGTAATGCTAGTTAGGATAAAATATCAAACCAGTGTCCTAAAGTAGCCTACGTGTGACTGCACTGAAGGGACTTGTAATAATGTAATAAAAACTTAATTCAAGACGTTTTACGTTTTTTGCTTTAGATAAAGTGAGTATTTTTCTTGAATTGCATGACATTTAAGGTAATTATAATAATACATATGTGGGAGTAAGTGTCTGTGTATTTGAAATACCATAAAGCCACACCTCCTTATTGGTGCAGCTTTCTTGTATTTTTGTTCTATTTTTGTCATTTCAACTTCTTCTTTTGCTTAATTTGGCTAAAAGGCCAAAAAATGTGGCTACCGAGGAGCAAAAAAAGGCCCATGATTATTCTCAACACATCTACAGTACATCACTTTTACAGCCGTGACACACGTTTGAATAAATCACATGCCGAATAACACAACTAACTGTGCTTTCAGGGGCAGAAGGTCATTTTTGACCTGATTACTATTCTGCGTGTGATGGATCTGGTTTCTATCGTCAATCAGCAAAGCAGAATATTGCCTTGTGAAAGTGAAATCCCATTACTCTGTCTGTCATGCTCATCATTTGCTATTGGATAGTAAATAATCAACATTGGCCGTTTATGTCACCAGCCAGTCTGTCAAGGTCATGACAGTGTAAGAAAAAATAAAAAAAGCAGATGACACTGGTTTGCTCGCTCTGAATATCTTCAATGACCAGCTTCAGCTTTTGATTTATCATGTGTTGCATTTGGAAAGGACCGGTACCGCAATTCATCTTTTCTCTCCATTGTGCCTGCTAAGGATGGATCAATAAGTAAGTTGAGTATATTTTAAAGAAAAATGTTGCACGTATTTATCAAACCTTTTCCAATTAGGTAAACTGATCCAGACTCGCTGCCCAGGTGCAAAATGGGAAAAAACGGATGGGTTTTAAACCCCCCACTAATGGGCAACTGCTGCCAGTAACCTCTGCTTCATTATACGTATGTTGCTCCTTTAAGCCTATTTTGTTACACATATTGATTTGCGGAGGGCTCTTAGCACACTTCCATTACCTCAAAAAACAGACCAAGTATCTGTCACTTTTTATGACCCTATTTAAGTTAAATAAGAAAAAGACTTTCAAATCCAATGGTGGTCTGGGTGAGTTGCACATATCTGGACTCTCAGACCTGAAATCGACCCACAGTCTTGTACAGCCGACTCATCAGAAGCTCCTTGGAGCTGTGGAGCTCTCTGCCTTTTCTTTGCTTTCTTTATTCACTTCCAAGATCCTCTCAGCCGACCGAGGGGCTGCATCCTCTGACCTCCTGATTGCAAACACCCTTCCTTCTCTCCCCTAATCTGTAAATAATGTTATTAAGAGTTCGGTCTAGACCTGCTCTATTTGAAAAGTGTCCTGAGATAACTTCTGTTATGAATTGGCGCTATACAAATAAAACTGAATTGAATTGAATTAACCTTAAATATGCAGCCTGAGAGTCGTATGTTATATCACGTCCTGGATGGAGAAGAGAGGGAAATGTTTTATTGTGGAAGCTAGCTGTGTCTGTTAGAACAGCTGCATCTGAAAGGCTCAAGTACAAAACATTCATTCAGCTAAAAATTTCAGTTCAAGCTTCCGGTGAGGGGGGTTTGAGCCAGGCCTCCAGTTTCTGCTTCGGCATTGGACCTTTTTAGTCCCCTAATGATCAGAATAAGAGTCCTGATCAGAAAAAAAGCAGCCTACAGTGACCAGAATAAACTGACCCATTCTAAGAGGGAATTCATTGTCCTCCAGAGAGTTGGTATAAACCTTTTTTATAATCCATTTGACGGATCAAAATTTGTCATGTAAATGCTCTGGTTCTATTTTTAGCCAATATGCTTTCGCCCTTGAGTTAAATGACATTTACTAGTTTCTGAGAGACTACGACTTAGGGCGGGTGCCTTAGGTGGACGACCTTCTACCATTTAACGACTGCAGGGGTGTTGTGTTGTTATAAAACTGTGACTATGGCACACAAATAAACCTATAATGCTGCCAATCACTTGATGCACTTTAACTGGTTATTTTCTTTAGCACTTATAAGAATACTTGGTTTGATTTTCTTTAGAAATGAATAACGTAATAACAGTCAGCGTACTATAGAAATCCTCTAGTTTCTATCTGCACCAAATGTAAACCATTAGCCTCACAAGTGGCTATAGCAGTCAAATCACTGATACCAGAGCTCTTAGCGGTGGTCACCATCAAGATAAAGAAACCACAGCTGCAGTAAATACTCAACTTTGCCATTCAAAAGTCACAAAATGGTCTTTTTTTTAATTGTAAGTTCATCTACAAACTTGTTTCTGAACCTTGTCAGGCACCCCCACTGGATGTTTTTTTTCTGCTTCAGTGGCCTTTTTTAGTGATACAGCCCTAATTTAGATGTATTGTGCCGGGGCGCTCGGTGGCACATCTTGTGAGGGAGCCCTGAATTCCCAGTGTCACCTCTGCTGTGGACATGACTGACTAATCCACTGCCAAACTTGCCGGCTGACTGGCTGGGTGTGTAGCTGGATGACTGACTCTCAGGCTGTTTGGCTACCTGCCTCGTTGTTTCCCTCTCAGACTGATTTATCCACATTTCCTCTTGATTAGCCATCTTGCTATTTCTCCCCCACCCACCCCCTCCTCTCCATGTCTGTGTCTGTCTGTCTTTTTGTAGCTGTTGGACTGGACTGCTTGTGAGTCTGACTGGCAGCACCATTGATTCCCCCTGCTCTTCATCGATCATGTCAAGTAATTATGGTGAAGCAGAAAAGCCACCTAACCTAATAATCACTGGTAAAAAAAAAAAAAAATCTACATGAGAGGATCCTCTCTGTGAAGATAATTGCTGCAGTTTGCACACACAGGTAATTAGCACAATGTGGAGATAAAGAATCTGTACTCCGCTTAAACGCCTCATTTTAACACCCACCAGCGGTGCTACAGTGACTCTCTCTCTCTCTCTCTCTCTCTCCTCCAGCACCTCGGGACTGACAGCAGTAACACATTCATTAATGATAGTAATAATGCACCAGAGGACACGACGGTGAACTTGAATGTGGGATTTGAGGGGAGAAAAAAAAACGTCGGTGCTGCTGCTGCGCGAATAACGCACATTTTGTCCCTGAAGTGTCTCCAGAGGATGTAGAGCGCTGCCGCCGATATAGTGGCGTTAATAATGGATAGGCCTTACACTATATAAAGCGGCTGCTTGCAATATGATTAGCCTATAGCAGAGTGGCCTATTTCCCCTGAATGACATGCACAGACAGTAGTACCTGGCCGATTGCGCCATACATCAACATTCACTGCTTGCGTTGGTGTGCAGACGCGTTGCTTTGCTGCGTAAATCACATTACAATCTAAGGGAATGTAATGGTGCCTAATTAAAGAGGCTGCAAACATAACCGGGCCGGATGAGAGAGAGAGAGAGAGAGAGAGAGAGAGAGAGAGGGGGGGGGTGGTGGTGGAGGGGATGGGGGGGGGTGTAATAGATGCTGTTTATACAAGCTATCCTTTGTGAGGAAAGAGTAGCTTGATGCATGCAGGCTTATCTCTACAGTAAGCGAGTGATGGTATGCTTAACCTACAGTCAAGGTGTTTCTTCTTGGGTCCGCTGACTTCATGCGTCGTGGCCTTGCAGACGGCTTTGCTGATGGCAGACCCGGTCATGCTGTGCTGCGCGGCGGCGATCCGGTCCGTCAAAGACTGTCCCGACATGTTACTGAGGAGGAGGAGGAGGTGGTGGTGAAGGTGGTGGTGGACGAGGAGGCTGGCGGAGTGATGGTCGAGTCCGGGTGGGGGGAACCGGGGAGGACGATCAAAATGTCTTTAGCGGCAGGGAGGAGGGTAGTGCCCTCTGCGAGAATCGGCCGTCTGAGCAGGAGGAGGAGGAGGAAGAGGAGGAGGAGGAGGAGGACAGCAGCGTTCACCGGCGAGGATCCGGTGGGAGAATTCATGCGGCGGCCAAATAAAACATAAGACGGTCACATCCAGCGTTTAATATTCAGTCGACGGCATCGGGATGAGCCAGCTGCAGGGATAAGATATTAGCCTGTATGAAGGGAGGGTGGGGGGAAAAAGGCTGCAAGAAATCAATATATCGCCTGATCAGAGCATCAAAAGCAGCTTAGTACATAATACTAATAAAAGACAATGTACAGTCAATGTGTCCCTGAAATAGCTGCGGTCCAAGGGTGAGATGCCGGTACGAGCGCTGAATCCCAAATAAAGATGGCAATAATCGGAAAAAAGCCTATCGGTGATTATCATGAAATCTATGCGGCATCCTCTATGACTGAAGGCTCATTTTTCAAAGACGGTATAAAAGCATTGTCCCTTTCCCCTTTTTCTTCTTCTCCCGGTTTCTCCTCTGAATCTATGCAATGATCCGACCGCAAACACCTCTCTGATCCACACAGCACCCCGCGCTGGCTGCATCTAACCTCAGCCGCTTTGATATATATATATATATTTATTTTTTGTATCACCCCCCCTCCCTGTCTCCCAACCTCCCCACAAGTCTTTTTAATCTTCTTACAAAAGGGTGTATTTTTCTGTGTTGAGGTTGCCGATAGGCCAATTTTTTTTGTCAGTCAAAACTTGTGTGTAAAATGGCAGCACATGAATCAGGTGACTGGGAAAGGAGGGCGATTGGGCCACTTCTCGGGTCCGGGGGAGGGCATCTTAAAGCAGAAGGCTGCCCCCGGATTTTTTTTTTTTTTTTGTCAAGGCTAAGGCATCAGCTGGTTCATCACCTCGGTGCATGTGGAGGACTTAAGAGTGTGATGTGCAAACTCTCCCTGATTACCTGCTGTCCAATGACATGACACACAGGGAGGAAAATTACAATATCAACCCAAGATGTTTCATTTGTGTGAATCCTATTGTTTCATAATGGCTGGAAATGTGTCTGTGGGGACCCAGTTGTACCCTATTTTTATAGTTTTTTTTAATAACATTACATTGAATAATCCTATAACACAATATTTCTACATATGAATGTGCCTTACAGTGTTTAATTACGGTACCATAATAAAATCCCAGCCTGTAACATTGCCGTGAAGTTCCCCATATGAAGACATTTCTTGTAGTCTCAAAATACATTTCCAGGGCCGTTCCAGTTTGATTCATTTAGTTTTGACGACATTCCCAGTATGTGTGTAAGTGACATTTCATGGTTCAGTAAATACCATCAGGGAGCATTCAGTGATGCTTCCTGCTTTATTTTAAAGAGCATCATCTAAAGAGGGGTTTTAAAGGTTCTGGTAATTTGAAAATGTTCTATAGGAACCACATATTATTACAGGAGGTAATATTGCGTTAATATTACATTAAGTGCCTGGGAAACTTTAATGAAATGTACTATGGAAACCACATGGAAACATTCTCTTAAACACAACCAAAAAATTTTCTTAAAGGGACTTTTTCTAAGGCTGTGGTTATAGTGAGGTCACTGCTCCTAATGGCAAATTTGAGGCATATGTGCAATCTCTGGTTTACAGTAGGAGACAGTGCTCTCTAGGACAGTAACTAATTATTATTTTATTATCCATTCATCTGTATTTAATTCTTTGTTCCATAAAATATAAATAAGATACAAAAACCTGCCCGTTATCATTTCCTAAAACTCAAGTTGACATCTCAAAATGTTATTTCTTGTTCGACCAACCCTTCACATTTACCCCTATTCAATGATTCTTCTAACTGAAGGAAAAAATATCTGTCTGCAGTGCAATAAAAGACTTTTCACCTGTTTCCCAAGTTGAGACTTTCCCTGTTGTTGGCTTGCGGGCATATTTGTTTTGATTCGGAAACAAATGTGGTGAAACAGATGAAATATCCTTTTTATCTTGATGGTTAGAGGAGTCTTTGGAGACTGGCTTTTCAAAAACCGCTAGTTAATTAACTTTGAGTTAAACTGATGGCTACCTCTGTTACTGGAGTGTATGCTATGAGAGGCACCAACTGGGGGCTATCCAACCTGGAGATCAGAGTCAAGAATCGAGTCAGTGTCAAGGCTGATTTGCAGACTTTGAAGGCGAAACATGACCTGAGCTGTGAGGCTCTGACATGCTGCTGAAAACATACCGCGCACTTTACAGCATCACAAATACATTTTTTGTTTTATTGCATGTAGTCTGGTGTCAGAGAATGCAGTTACAAATGTGTTGCATTACAAGGCCAGACTATTACACATCAAAGGGAGTGAAGTAAAATATAAAGCAGATGCCTAATTTGGAAAACATGGAATTTCAAATAACACTGGAGGCAAACTCAACAAAGGCAGCTGTTCTGTCATCAGTGCGCTGAAAAGAGCAGCACATACCATGTTTTTGACTGGCAAGAAATTGATTTTAGGGTTGAAGAAAGTGTCTCATACCAACAATAGAGCCGGTAGTTTGACAGCGAGTCAGGTTATTTATATCTAGAGTGAAATATTCACCTTTGGAGGATGAAATGTCAAGAATTATAGACTGAACCCGCACATTCATACATAATAAAATAGAAATTAGTGCTTAACTGTAAGGAGATTCTACGGTGTTTCATGAAAAGACAGAGTAGCAGTGGAAGAAACACAGATGTTGTAAAGTGTTTTACACTTTACTGCTGCTATTCCTAAATCTCGTACCACTAACAGCCTTTTATCAACTCACTGAATAGTGCCTTTAATGGACATAAATGCTAAACTGCCTCTCCTCCATTACCTCCACAACATCTATGTGTATTTCTGACTGCAAGGGATTCTTGTTTGTTTTTCTGGATTGCATGCAAGAACAGATTTTCCAGTCCATCAGTTCTTGACCCAGTGTAAATATCTTTACTTTAAGCAGACAATTATGAAACCATGGCATATCCTTCAGCTGCTGAGTGTTAATGTTACATTAAGGGATTCATCTTATATAACACTGGCGAAGAAATAAGGCTGTGATCCCCTGCAGATGGATAATAAGACCTATGACAGATGGAGGATAGTTAGTCGATTCAAAGCTTGGTAATAACAATGATTTGACTGTGACAACTAATGCTGAGGATCATGGGGAACAAATAGGGCAGGAGACCATGGGCAGTCAGCACATGTTACCTTTTACAGTGCAGAGATTTTAGGATTTCAATCATTTGCTTACTAGCTGAACATCTGACTCTGCATGAGGATATAAACAAAATGTGTTTCACCAAAACAAAAAAGAGAAATACACTTAACTGTTGAGCTTTAGATGATAAGATTGAGACCATGCTCATATCTGTCTGTTATAATATAAGACTAAAGCCAGCAGCTAGTTAGCTTAGCTTAGCATGGTGACTAGAAACGGGGGGAAACAGTGAGTTTGGTTCTGTCAAAAAGTAACAAAATCCACATTCCATGTTTCCATGTTGTTTCTGCACTTTGGTTTTTATGTGCATTAAACAAACGGAATATAACATGTTCATTTGGGATATTTAGAGGTGCTGGCAGGCGTTATTTTTTTTGCACAAACAGAGCCAGGCTAGCTGTTTCTCCCCGTTTCTCCCTGCCAGAAAAATAATGAGTGTATTTCATCACAAACGCCAAACGTCACATCCCTGCTCAAGTGTTACTGAATCTTTTCCCTCTATACACTCCACAGGCTGATGATTGTAATTGTGTTGATAGTTGTCACAAACACACAAATGATTAAATTTTGATTAAACTTTAATAAAAATGCACCTCAGGACCTTGATGGCTCGTAATACAGACAGCACTCATATCAGCTCCACAATATGCATAAAATTTACGACTCTGTAGATATTTCCAGCATTTGCAGTTTTAGCTGTTTTCACATCTCTTAAAGACTTTACTCCCTCTTGTCCACTGACCTAATAGTAGACTGCATGATGATGGCCCGAGGAAAAGTGCAAAGAATGCAAGAAAGCTTCATGTTTTTATGTCTGTGTTCACACTGCAGACCAAAGTGTCAGGAGCTGTCAGTTCAGACAAATGTCAAAGGCACAATGTCATATATGTATAATAATAATAAGCAGAGAAGGAAAATAAGTTCAAAATTGTACATATTATCCACTGTAAGTTTATATTGATAATATATTAAGGTTATGTCATAGAATGTAACAAAAAAAATGCAATTTTCATGTGCAAATGAAATTACTTTAAAGATCTTTTTAATACCAAAGAATAAAATAAAATAAGACTGTACAATTCCCATGGCAAAAAAAGATTAAATAAATTTGGGTTTTCCATAGTTGTGAAATATAAATCAAAGGATGATCTATTGGCAGAAATGTTATTTAATTTTCACAGGTATGTTTTCATTAGTGTATAATCACATCATGTTGGCCTGCAGTGTGAGCACAGCCGATGAACACTGGTACAAAGCTCACTGTGGGCTAAGGCGATGGTTTTTTTTTTTTTACAAACAGTCCCTGAGCCAAACTTATCTGTGTGGCCGTAGCCTCACAGCTGTTCACTTCCTGGTCGTCTGTGACTGGTCAGGAGTCACCATTTCACACACGACGAGCAGTTGAGATGATCCTTTGCGGTGTTAGTGTACCCAGACAGGACAAGGTTGCTGGGGTCTCGCTCTATCATCGGGCTCTCCTCGTTGTTCAGGATGTGCTCGACCAAACAGCGCACTGCCTCCTCGATGTTTGTGTTTTCCTGGAGGAAAGAAGACAAAGAAATCATGTAGCAACATCAGCGGCGTGGCTTTATGGATGGCCACTGTCGGTTGTTCAGTTCACCACTTTCGTCTGGAGTAAAATATCTCAGCCACTTGATGAATTTTACTTATTTTATATATTCCCTGACTTCTCTTCTAGCACCACCATGAAAGTGACCTTTGTGGTTCAGAGTGAAACATCTACACAACTATTAGTTGGATTGCTGTTAAGTTTGCTACAGAATACCTGCACAAGCCTCAGCTGTAGCATGCTAACAGGCTAAACTAAGATAATTAACATGGTAAACATTAAAATGTTAGCACGTGTGCTCCTGTGTCAGCATGGCTGTAGACTCTTAGTCTTGTTAAGGCCAAAACCGTTACTTTTACTTTAGCAATAAAACCATTACAAACTTTATCTATCATGTTGAAACACAGTGTGACAGAAGTCATATCAGACCCAGTGAGGCTGTAGCACTAAACCCGAGTGTGTCAGAGACGTGATTTGTTGCTTCAGAATTCAGTTTTTCTTTCCTAAGATGCGTTATGTTGTGCTATTTCTTCTTGCAAAGGTCTTGCTTCAATAGCAGAGAGTGAATGTTTCACTACACAACCCTTACCATAGCGGGAAGGGAAAACGCACCACATCAAAAAGTCAGATTTTGACTTAATTGACTTTCTCCCTTTTCAGTCTGACACACTAAACCAATGAGAAACCAGGATGTCACACACTGTTAGAAACTGTATTATTTCTGTTGTTCCTGATCTGTCCGACCTGTCTGCCGAGGCTTCATGTTCGCTTACTACGCTACTGTCTCTGACTTGCACCCTGGTGTGTAACTCATTAGTCGGGCTCTGGATAGGAGGGAAAAAACAGAAGGCTAATTCACACCAGACTGCAGACATTCCTCTATTTGTCTCTTGAGAGCACAGCAAATAATGTTTTCTAACTTTTAGTGTTTGCACAGTAATTTTCTGAGTCATTTCTTTTCACAGTGTGCTGTAATATCATTGGTATTATTTTAGCCCGTTAAATATGTAGTTGACTTGACTGTGTAAATGATGTATACCGCAGATGATGATCTTTTAGTATTTGCCTCAAGTCAAGCCCCTATACAACACAACAGCATTTTTAATCAAAAAAAGCTGCCTAACCTGTCTAATCACTAGTATATTAAATCATTTGTGGTAAATATTAGTGCCGATATTAACTCAATTTAACTTTAAGTGTCACATATGCAGTGTCTTCCCTCTCGTACCTTTGCCGAGGTCTCGAACCAGCCAACAAAGCCGTTCTCCCTGCAGAAGGAGTCAAGTTTTGGCTGCTGGGAAGCCAGCTGGTCGGACTTATTGGCCAAGAGCACAGCTGGAACTGGCCTCCCGTGGTTCAGGGTTACCTTAGGAGAGAAGAAAGACGGGGTTACATGATGGTTGTACATACTGTAATATAATGTAACTTACTTTTTAATAGTGATGTGTTGTAAAAATAGCCTATCTATCTTTAGGTACAAATTGTCTTCTAAACCGAACAAAGTAAAGGGTTCCAGGAAATATTGTCCTAAAGTGTGGTACATATTCCGTCAATCTCTGACATCTGTGTTTTATTCCGTCTTCGAGTTTGGACGTTCAGATCAGTTTTCAAACACTTTTACCTTCATACATGACATACAACTTGTAGTACACACTAGTTCTTTTTGAGCATATTGATACCTTTACAGAAATTATCACACCTCTCCAGTTCTCACATCAAAGAGGTGTGAGAAGAGAGAGTTTCAGAGGCATCAGACACGCACTTTGGTTGACCTTAAGCAGTTCCAGTGTTGTATTGTTGCCTCTTTCTCCCTTTCAGTAGCATTACAGAACAATCACAGATGAGTTTGGATGGAAAACATGCAGGTGTTGCTGTGTGTAGGCTATTGATGTCACCTTACACAAATTTTAGGCATTGCAGTTAGTGTTCAAACAACTACTTGTATCAGTCCCTCCAGGATTTTGTAGCTTTTTTATTTTTGTGGCCCAAAATTTCACAGCACCTTTTCTAAAAAACTGCAAGTCTTATTGCGATGTTCTTAGGCTTTTTGGCAATGACATCTTGTGTGTGTGTGTGTATAATTCATCAAAAATTGAAGGCAACTTGTTCCAGGGAGAATAAAATCCTCAGTAGTTTGGTGCAGTATGGCTCAACTTTTTGTGAAACTTGTTGGAAACTACAATGGTTGGTCAAATGTATGTAAAAACGATTAGACAAAATTGGAAATTCGCACAGAATTCACCGGGATTGGTTGAATTTGTGTTAATTGTTGCGATCACAACTTCCTGGAGGGACTGTTTAGTTTTGAGTCCTGTTTCTTAGAACTGTCAGCACATACGTTTGCCTCAAACAGTGGTTGAATCCTTTCTGTCTTTTTATATATATATTTCTTTTAATTGCCTTTAATTGATAGTGACAGCTGAAGAGTGACAGGAAAGAGCGAGGAGAGAGAGAGAGAGAGAGAGAGAGAGAGAGAGAGAGAGAGGGGTGACATGCAGCAAGGGCCACAGGTCGTAGTTGCACCTATGGCTGCTGCAGCAAGGACTCAGCCTTGGTACATGGGGCACCAGCTCTACCAGGTGAGATACCCGTGTCCCTGAATCCTTTCTAAGTGTAATCTCACTTTGAATTTGTCCCTGAATATTCTTATTAAATGAATGTAGACTAAAATGTGAATGGTCCAGTATCTGTGAGATAAACATTTAACCATAACAATGACACTACCCTGACGTTAACTGTATCTTTATCATAAATTGTTGTAGTGTGGGGGTTGTGGTCAGCTGTTTCTTTACACCTCTGAAAGGGGCAGAATAACAGGGGAGAAAGAAAGGCCTCAGTTTGAGCTTCTCTATTGGATGGTCAACGCTTGACGCCTGACCTTGGAGTCCAGATCATCCTTCCACTTCAGCACAGCGTCAAACGTGGAGGCCCTCGTCACGTCAAACACCATCAGCGCTCCCACCGCCTCCCGGTAATAGACACGAGTCATGTTCCCATACCGCTCCTGTCCTGGGACGCATGGACAGCCATCAGACACACACACACACACACACACACACACACACACATATTTATGTATAGACTCCTAACAAGTCCGTAAAATCCAATCCACTCACAGCACGGTTTATTAGTGACAAATACAGGAAGTCTGTGTTTGTGTGTGTGTGTGTGTGTGTGTGTGTGTGTGTGTGTGTGAATTCTACAGTAGCCACCATCATGTGACTGATATTATGGGCATGGGATCACTTGAGTCACAGCCAGGCACAAGATCCACATTCCTCGGCCAGGCTTCAAATGACAGGGAGGGACCCAGGCATCCAGTGGACAGACACACACTCTCACTGGGAATTCACATTACTCACTGCAAAAATCTTCACTCTTATCAAGTCCTGTTTGTATATTAGTAAAAGTCAAAAAGTTAAAAGGTCTTTTTTTTTTTGGTATTCTAGTGCAGCAGTGTGTTATTCTGTTGTGCTGACACTCTTGAAAGGAGCTGATTGTGTTGGAAAACCAGTCATTATAATCTTACTGCACTGGTAGCAAACTTGAATCTTAGGACTTTTTAAACTTCTTGATAAGTAGCAGATGTTTTGCAGTAGCTACTGTCTAGATACTATAGTTATAATGTCTAAATGTATTCCACATGCACCTACCTAACTAAAACTGCCCTCTGATTGATTTCAAAAAGCTTATTTCCATAAAGCAGCTTACAGGTTCTCACAGCTGCTGAAGGTGAAACAAAAGGTTTTTGTTTCCAAATATCCCAAAACACACACTGTTCCACTGTCTACAGAGAAATAAATCCTAGTACTGATCTACATGCATAGTTTTAACAATCACCTGACACATAATACGTCTGTAAACCAGGGGGGGTATACTATGGGGGTCGTTAAAGTTCAACAGACCTGCTATGTCCCACAGCTGGAGCCGAATCACAGTGTCATTGTCCCACTGCAGCACCTTCAGGGCGAAGTCCACCCCGATGGTGGCTCGGTAGTGCTGGGAGAAGATCTGATGGACGTACCGCTTGATGATGGAGGTTTTTCCGACCCCTAAGTCCCCGATGACCAGGACTTTGAACAAAAGCTCCTGCTGCATGGCTGCAGCTCTTCAGAGAGAGAGAGAGAGAGAGAGAGAGAGAGAGAGTGATAGAAACTGTATGAAGGATGCTGCTGCTGCACAAGTATGGCAACAAATACTGTGAACTATAAGTTAGTTAAGTCAAGGACAGTTTTTTTTCTTCCTTAGTGGGACATTTTCTTCCGTCCAGAGCAATAAGAAAAATCGTTTTATGATCCAATATCATCGAGATTTGCGGTTAAGATCGCCTGTGATCATTGCAGTCCACCCGTTTAATCACACATGACTGAGTCTGAAACCCTTCACTTCACTGTCGGCTCTGTCAGCGGCTGGTGGTGCATTCAACTGCTCCTCGTAAAAAAAATTTGCTTCGCAATTTGTCACGCATTTTCTTGGATGGCTTCATGACCTTTCTTTGAATAAACGTATTAGTACCACAGTTCACACGTACTCTGTTAGAGGTAATAGTCCTGTATTCAAAATAAGTGTTTCTGATGCAAAATATACATCAAAAGTAGAACTCACTATACAAAATGGCCCCTTTCTGAGTGTTATTACGTTGTTGAATTATTGTCACTATGCATTACACATTGCACAAGTAAACAGCATTTTACTGTATCGTATTTACAACATTGCATCCCCATAAAACATTAGTGTGGATGTTTAGGATACTATGAATAGATCTTAAAGTTTTAAGATTATTATTTGTTAAATCAGGTTACGTTTTCATGTTTTTCTTGGTTTTCTCTTCAAATCGTATTCTTCTATAAAACAATTAAGCAGCTAACTATCTGTGGACAATAGCTGCAGGGATCTAACCTATATTTTTGATTTCCTTGAGTGTTAGAGACACTGCTGAGATGAAAAAAACATTTATTTTTCTGGTTTAGAATAAAGAAAGCAATACATGGTTGCTAATTTAATTAATAATTTAATGCTTTTTATACCAAACAAGGATCTAAATAAAAGAAAATGAGATTAAACATATTCATGTGCGCTCCCTTTGTAATTACAGTTTTTTTGTTCCTATAGCCTTTGAAGACAGCAGCAGCACCCTGAGGATTGCTGCTGCGCCGCTGTGTGTGCAGTTACGGTAATGGTGCTGATGAGGGGACGAAGAGGAGAGGTGTGTTTGTGTGTGTGTGAGAGAGAGAGATGCTGCTGTTGTGTCCTGCTGCCATTTCATCCGCGGATCCTCTCGGAAATATCAACAGTCCTGCTCAGATTAAGCTGCAGCTCGGCTCATCTGTCGGTGTTCACACCCAACAGGCTGATTTCATCCGTAAAAAAACGGCTCCAATGTTGATGGTGGACAAGAGGCCTAGTTAATAGGATGTATGTTATTGGTGCGGGTTATTTCTCTTAGCAATAACACAACCACTGCTACTCTGGAGGGTCATTTTTAGAAGACATAATCGAGGATATGGGGTTTGCTTTTTACAGGTACTGAGCTCTTAACTTTAAGGTAGGTAACTATTTTACTGATTTTTATTTGATTGTTGTCCTCATTATTAATCATTAAAGTAAATAATACTCATGCTGGGATTAGGCTAAGTGGGCTGGGCCTCATGGTTGAAACAATATAATCCTAATTTTTGACAAACTTTGTGGAATATCTCCTGAGTATCACCAGTGGCCTTCTGGGAAGCTGCAGCAAATATCCTTTTATCAACCAGCAGCCATGTTTATCGGCTCTCTCTTCAATAAGCTTCTATTTTGCTAGCTTCAAGGTCTCATTGTGTGTTATAGCAACCAGCCTACTATCCACATGGGGGCTGACTACACCAATGTTTATTGAGATGGAGAGGAGTGGCCTCCCCTCCCTCCCTCCCTTCCTCCCCTCAAATTAGATCACCCAACAGTAAATCACATGGACACTGCTGAGATGATCTGAGCCTGTTACTCTCTCCTTATGATGGCGGCCATAACCCATGAATTATCCATGTGGTCAACACAGTGGATTAAATGTCCATTTCAATCTATTTAAACACATCTGTGTCTCATTCTGTTGTTGTTCTCACTGATCGTGGAGGCTTTAAAGGTCCAGTGTGTAACATTTAGGAGGATCTATTGGCAGAAATTGAATATAATATTCATATGTATGTTTTCATTAGTGTATAATCACCTGGAAATAAGAATTGTTGTGTTTTTGTTACCTTATAATGAGCAGTTTCTAACTACAGACACCGCGGCTTCCACGGAGTCCACCATGTTGAACCGGCATGTTTCTACAGTAGCCCAGAACAGACAAACAAAACGCTGGCTCTAGATAGGGCCTTTCATGCTTTTTGCGAGTTTTCCGTCCACCGTAGTTTTTCCTTTTACACACTTCACAGCCAGCATCACCACTAGATGCTTCTAAATCCTACACACCGGACCTTTAAAGTGTGTTGAAGCCGTTGTTTCATTTTCTTCCCTCTAAAATTGTTAAAATGTGAGACAAAAGAATGTATATAAAAATATCTACAAATGAAACATCATTTTATATTTTTCCTCACTTACCCTACACTTTAAAGGATGGTTTTGTTACGGAGGAAAACTGCTGCCGAAGGTCAACAAGACCATATTTTGTGAGACAGAGTGCACATTTTGTTTTCTTAAAAGCATCATGAGCACATAAAGCTCAGTCTTCAGCTATTTTTTAGCTGTTAACTTTCCTCTTCAAAGGATTAGATGCATAAGATCTGACCAAAACAATCTAATATGTAGTAATATTGATTAGAGTTGAAACACTTAATTGATTAGTTGAAGGACAACAGCTGAAATAAGATAAGAGATTCATACTTTTTCAAACAAAATCCTCCAATTTAACTCTTTGGGTTTTGGATTGTTGCTCAAATAAAACAAGACTTTTTGAAGTCCTTATATGGATAGCTGACTGAATTACTTTGTTTTCTTACAGGTTTTATTTTGGTGAGACATGGAGACAATATGGCTTTATCAGTTTCGTCTGATCGTCATTGGAGACTCCACGGTCGGCAAGTCGTGTCTGATCCGGAGGTTCACCGAGGGCCGCTTCGCCCAGGTGTCAGACCCAACAGTGGGGGTGGACTTCTTCTCCCGCCTGGTGGAGATCGAACCGGGCAAAAGAATCAAACTACAGATCTGGGACACTGCAGGACAGGAGAGGTTCAGGTAAAGACATATTTGTTGATTTCAAATATGGAAACAAAAGTCATACAAATTGTTAAATCTGTTACAAATCCACACCAACATTCAACACATATATCAATTACTGATTTTATTTTATTTCTCTGTGCTATATAGAGCTCCATTGTTGTCCAATAGATACTAAAAACTCACCTATAACACACACTGTTGCCAGAGGCTCATATCGGTACTTAAGTAGTTTTCTTCAGTTTACTTTAGTATTTATTTTTCTGACAACTTTTTACTTTTACCTCCTACAATTTTACGCAAATATCTGTACTTTCTACTCCTTACATTTACAAAACAGGCTTCTTTCTTTAGTTTGAATGCATTTGAGGGCAAATATCGACTATTTACTTATTGGTTCTGCATCATTGCACGCCTTCCCAATATCAAGACCGGTGCATATCATGTATGTAACATGATGACTAAACAGAGAGGGAGACATGATCCTATTTGAAGTTTCAGTTCACCTTTGCACAGAAACAACCGGTAAAAATGTCCTTCAGAGAAACCAAAAGAGTGTTTTTTTTACTTTTATACTTTGAGTACATTTCAGAGTCTGTATATTTTTACTTGTACTTGAGTAAAGAAGTTGAATCAGTACTTCTACTTTTACATGCATCATTTTTTTATCTCTTTGTAGCTGTACTTCTACTTGAGTAAAGAATGTGAGTTTTGCCACCACTGACTGTGTCCCATCATTATAATCAAAAGGCACTGTAGTTTATTTTGGGTCCAGTACTGCTGCTGTAAATAATCACTAAAACAATATACTATTTACTACAGTTTAAATAACATTTATTAAAAACTACAGTGCCAAGCTGATTTAGGAAATTATTTAGCCTTTTTTAAAAATAAAAATCATGTGTATTCCCCCTTTTTAAGTTGGAAAATATTGAGAGATGGACTAATGCATTGTTGGTTTTGGTCTTTTCATGAGATATGTTGTCAATAATGAATATGTGACATGTTTAAATATGCTTTTTTGTGATTTGGATGAATTATTGAATTCTATATCTGAGTAAGGGATTACACAAGTATCCACAACAGTTCAGAGTGGCCTGTAGCTGCATCCCAGTAAGTCTGATAATGACATTCATATAGGATGAATCTGCAGCGCACGATTTTCAACCTGCACCAAAACAGGAAGTAGTGTGCTGTTTATGCGGTAGGCAGGAAGTAAGGGTGTAGAGGTTGCGGTGGTAGATGGGTGTGTAGCACATTTGACTTTCATGCGGAAGACCAGAGTTTCAACCCTGACACACAATACACCATTTAATGTTCTTTGTGTTCTTTGTCTTCGAAAAAGAAAGACAACAGTTCAAAACACATAAACAGAAATGGTCTGACTTTATCTATCTATCTATCTATCTATCTATCTATCTATCTATCTATCTATCTATCTATCTATCTATCTATCTATCTATTCAGGTCTATCACCAGAGCTTACTACCGTAACTCAGTTGGCGGACTCTTACTCTTCGACATTACAAACCGCCGTTCCTTCCAGAACGTCCACAACTGGCTGGAGGAGGCCCAGAGCCACGTCCAGCCGCACAGCATCGTCTTCCTGCTGGTCGGTCACAAGTGTGACCTGGAGGCCCAGCGTCAGGTGACCCAGCAGGAGGCAGAGAAGCTGGCAGGGGCCTTTGGGATGCGCTACGTGGAGACATCGGCACGAGACGCTATCAATGTGGAGAAGGTGTGGATGACACTTCAACCATTTTTTCATCACCTAAACGTTTGACTGTAATGTTAATCAAGACAAATATGGAGCTTCCAAGTTCATATTTTTAACAGTTGTCATGGAGATGGTTTAGTTGTTAACATGTGACCTAAGTATGAAATATATGCTATCAGTTCCCTAAACTGATGTTTAAAAAGGTTCCTTCTGTAACATTTACTTTGAAACACGTGCAAGGGACTGTACAAAAATGATTGGGGGGTTATTATAATTTCTTTTGGGCCTTAACCTGGACCAAGACAAGCAGAGCAACACTCTCCCTGCAATATCTCAACGTAATAAAACACTAAGATGGCGCACTAGAAGATGAATTAGGAATTGTCAAGAATGATGTTTACTGTTGATGAGAATATTCAAGGAATTGTTTGCTTTTAAGTCACCTTTTCATGACGTTTTCACACATTTTATTATAACGTAATTCAACTTCCTGTTAAGATTTAGAATAAAACGTTCCTATTCCCTTTTGCAAAATGAAAATTTGTATGCCCACGAGTCATTTTAAATGAGTTATGATCCTTCACAGTCTGGTTTTCATTTTGTTTCTTTTTCATAAGGCGTTTGTGGATCTGACAAGGGACATCTTTGAGCTGGTACGGGGCGGGGACATCAAGATCCAGGACGGCTGGGAGGGCGTCAAGAGCGGATTCGTGCCCAACACCGTCCACTCTTCTGAGGAGGTCGCCAAGGGCAGCCGGCAATGCTTGTGCTGATTCAACCTGGCTGCAGCATGTAGGGTGACAGGTGGTAATACCTGAGTGGACTCCATCCGTAAGAGATCTCACTCACCTTGGCTCCACTACATGGCCAGTTACTTGGGACTTATGATATTTCCCCCTGCTCAGTTACATACTTTACTTCTATACACTGTATAAGACAGTCTTTTATCTTTCAGGTGCCTGTTTATGGCTCCAAACTTAAGACACTCTGTTAATGTTCCTAACAGGCATAGAAGCACAAGAAGTATCTTAACCCCACTCACTGTTCTGTGTGCATGTGACTGTAATAATCCTGCTGTCTTTGCAGCTTTTACCAACACTTCAGCTTTACAGCACTTTTGGCCATTCCCGATGTGTACAGTTATACTCCAGCGGCCACTTATGTTGTTGCCGCACATCTCCTAAACACTGGTACTGTCAGTGTAGTGTGTCTTATGCTCATGTTAATTTAAATCTAAATCAGTGTTGCCAAGACTGAGTCTCCTCCTTTTCATGCATACATATATTGCAACCTGTATCCGGTGAGAGAGATGAGACGGAAAGAGATCTTCACTGATTGTACTGCACTACAAATCCAAGTGGCTTATCACATAAAGAGAGTGGAGGATGATGAAAGTGAACTCCAAAGTGAACCAAAGTTTCAGAAACTGAGTCTGTCGTGTCTGTTTGTCTGACTGTGACCTGCTGACGACTGGAGAGAGTTTGCACTGTGAAAATGTTCAATGGTTGACCAATGATTGCTGTAGCTGCTCACTGATACCCATTATAACTTAATCATAGCAAGGATTTCTATCAATATGGTAAACACCTGGTTCATGTTTACTACTCTCTGTTGGTTTACTGCTGAGAACAGTTAAGATATTAAAGCATTTTGTATGGAAGCCCAAAGTGTTCAATATTAAATAATATAAAAAGAAAACATTTAAAAATAAATAATGATATGAATAAATTGTGTAAAATACATACTGTAAATGAACCAACAATTTGTCAAATGATTGAAGAAATTATTCAAACTAATCTCATCATTATGAAATATTACTTAATCTTGTTTTTTCGTAATTTTATTTTATTGGAGTTAATTTTTATTTGATTTTAGTAATTTTTATTTCAAAATGTCCCTTTTCCAACGTCTGTTTTTAAGTCTTAGTGTCACTTTCTATGATGGCACATTTTATTTCATGTCACTTTTCATGACAGTGGTGTTACTTTTTGCCAATCGCGTACTCGCCTGCCTCTATTAGGCCAGCTCAACAACTGCTAACAGAATTAGCCAGTTAGCTGGAGCAACAACAATGTAAAAGTAATCCTGAATCAGTCTCGTTGCTGCTACTGAGTCAGTGTACTTTGCAGCCAACAGATTTTCATTTTGAAATGAGAAAACCAAAATACCATCTATAAATATAACGTGTGCTGCTTTTTTTTTGTTTTTTTCTGTTTTTTATTTAAATTTTTTTGTTGTTTTTTGTTTGTTTTTCTCATTTCAAAACGAAAATCCGTTGGCTGCAAACATCACAGAAACATAAACTAAACCTCCTTTTAGTTCTTAAGTATTAGCCTAACATGGTTGCACATGCTACCTCGCTTAAAGTTTTACACAGCGTCAAAGTGAAAAGACAGTGTTAGCATTGTTAGCTCGCTCCGGACTGTGCGTCACAGAGTTGTGTGTCTTTCTCTGAGGAGCTAACTGGCTACATTTGATAGCATTGTTGAGCTAAGAGAGGCCGGTGACACCACCACTGACAAGGAACATTACACTCTGAAATAAACTGTGACCAAGAAATAAACAATTATTTATACATTCATACAATTTATAAGTTTTATGCAATATATTCATGAAATAATTTATTTCATAATTACTTGTGTATTTATTAAATATTGAACACTTTCAGGCTCCAGACTTTTGGAAAACTGATTTTATGAGTTTGTGACACCTTCAGGTCAAAATCTCTTGTCAATGCTTATGCCTCCATTTATAGATTCAATCATATCCATATTTATAAACAATGCATGCCTGCAGTTTAACTCAAATTTTCCAAAGAAAGAAAAACATTTTTTATTTTTGATAAACTGTAAAAAGCCACTTCACCTGGAAACTCATCAGGAAGAGCAGAATTAAAAAGTGAATAATTTGTTATTTGTGACATTATATCTCGTGCAGTGACAAAAAATATATGTGAAACACTTAAAGTGAACAAATTAGGATAATTTAAACCCCGCTACAGGATTTCAGATCAGATTGGTAGCATTATAATTGATGAATTCATTCAACAGTATAGAAAGAAAGAATGGCAAGTGAGTTCATTTATTTAAACTGTGCAGTGGAAGTGTCTCTTTCGAGTGCCTTTTGGAAGAAAGAAGCCTAAAGAAACACAATCAACTTCCTGTTCCAAATGTGTGTTTATCCTGTGAATATTAAAATCTAAACTGTAAGGTGGTGGGAAACAACATTGGTATTGCATTATACGACCTGTAAATAATTTCTTTGAAACCAAACCCTGACAAGGTTGACTGTTTGATGTTGTTGTGACTCTGGGATTATCATAGCACAAGTGTCATCAATAATAAATGCCTGGAGACATTAATAAAGATTTGCCTTGTGCAAAGATTGGATGTATGCTGCTCTTTGTGCCATAAAGTGACAGACAGATTGACGTAATGCTGTATGTGACCACTAGAGGGCAGTCTTAGAGTGTGGAGAAGGGAGGTAATGTGTACATTTGCTCAAGGTGGGGCAGGGAGGCACAGCAACAGCAATAATAATAATAATAATAATAATAATAATAATGATAAATGATAATAAGGATGATACTTAACTTGAGTATTTTCTTTTAATGCAACTTTATACTTATACTACACTACATTTCAGAGACAAATATTGTACTTTTTACTACAATTATTGTTGTAATTTACTTGTAAAATAAAACTATCCAACAACAGTATGTACAATTAGAGTTGAAACGATTAGTTAATCAAACTGATAGGTCAATTGACAAAAAAAAAAAGAAATTGGCAACTCACATACTTTCACACTTGTGCTTTGTAAGTAACACTTTAAATGTGGCATATTTTATGTGTGGTTTTACTTATTAATGATCTTCCTCTGTGGTTTTTAGATTAAATTTGTGGCACCTGGATTGCTCACCTGGTGGAACTGGTGCCCGGTTTTCAAAGGCTGAGTCCTTGTATTCAAGTCCGACCCATGGCCTTTTACTGTATGTCATCCCCGCTCTCTTTTACCTATTTCATCTTCAGCTGTTTTAATGTCCTGTACCTAATAAAGCCCCCCAACCAACAATAATAATAATAATAATAATAATAATTATAATAAAAATGAAAGAACTTTCTGTTGCAAGTTGCTTTGGCTCAATTGTCAAATCACAATGCACCCAACCATCAAACACTGCAGTTACTGAATATGGACCAGTCACACATTAGAGAGATACTCTCATGCAGGAGGGGAGGCATGTAAAAGTATGGAAACGAGGGTACAGTCACAGAAAGGAGTGAATTTTAATTTAATTAATTTCATGAATGTATTTTTACTTTACTTTTTGTGGTAATTTTTGTCAATTTTGTTTAACTTTACTGTTACAGACAGCATAAGGTACTTACTGTGAATAGAGACGAGACTGGTGTTTGTAGGACATTGTGTTTATTCAGTTGCCTACAAAGTATAACTGACTTTATTATAGGGTTACTGTATGTATGTCTCAATGAGAAAAGGCATAAATAAACTCAGTTGTACTTTTATTTTAACATCATGCGGATACAGTTCCTCGGGTATGTCTGGACTCAATGACACAGAGACGTGTCATTGTGGGTGAAAGGGTTATTTACTTGTTATTTACTCATAGCTGACCTTTGCTATTCAAATATATTGCTGTCAATGTAAACAGAGTAAAGTTGTTTTGGTCTGCTGCTGCTGGATTTGTTGTCAAAAGTTTTAAAGTGACTAAATAAAGGGAAGTGTCATATTCAAATTAATATATGTCATTGTTGAGATAGTGAGTCACTGGTGATCCAATTAAAACCAGTAAAGGCTTCAACAGCCTCCAACATACAGCTCATGCTGAGAGAATTTAAAAAGAGGAAGAGGTGTATCTGCCATAAGCAAGAATGATTGTTTTATTTAAAAAAAACAACAAAAAAACAAACATTGAAAATACAGCTTGTTTTATACATGACAGCCATATGTACAGGATATAAAACACAAAAATAGATCCATTGCTGTTAATGAGATGATCACAGGGGAGATGATGGTATTTATTTTTTGAAAGGCACAAGGGCTGGGAATGAGTGAGTCACAGCCACATCACATAACCTTTTTAATGATAAATGAACCCTTCGTGGGGGTCTGTCACTGGAAGGCAAGCAAGAAAACATACGAGTTTTACATTTAAATCTACTCTTGTCTTACCGGCCCCGATGCCTTTCTCAGGCAGAAGGATGTTTCTTTAGGCACCAGATTATTGATTCACAACATCTAGAATCCACATCTATCCTTACTGCACCCTCCCATCTCCACATATGTTTTGGGGAGGCATGTCAAGTTCTGACATGTGTAAAGTGGGGAGCATTTTCTGAGCAAAAAGAGTATTAATGGGATATCTTTTAAACATATGCAGAAATGCTTCAATACTGCATCCACCAGGACCCCTGAAAGGGGGACTAGGATTGGTATAGTTTAGATTTCAGCAGCATCAAGTGTCATATGAATTGCCTTCAAATGTAATTTACAAAAAAACATCTCTTACCAAATTACACTTACGGTCATATTTTAAAGACAATTATTTGTATAATTTACAGCATTATACAAATGAAAAGATAAAGTTTTAAACAAATACTGTACATTTTACAGTAAGCACTTTACAAGAACAGAAAAGATGCTATTAACAATAAGTTATATTGACTTCAGAGGATTGGGTTAAAATCATTTTAAATTACACAATTTAGAAACCAACTTTTAGTGGTCATTCATAGTTCTGGAAAGCTCAGTTTCCAAAAACACGTTCATTTGGTCAGGGAAAGATCACAAAATATCACAACTTAATCATTTGATGCTGCAAGACAAAAGGGAAAAAAAGAAAAGAAAAACACTGTGACCAAACATATCAGCACACTAAAAACTGTACATTTAACGATTAAAATACATCTACAAAGCATAATAATTAATTGATTGAGACTGATATGAAAAGGCAAAAAGAAAGCTATCCCAAAACAAACACTATAAACATTTAAATATTAACAGTTCTATCAGAAAAAAAGCAAATAAAGTTGTAAAAATACAATAAAGTGGAATAAAATACAAGTGATGGGGGCTCAACAGACAAAGCTGCCAAGAACAAGTTTCAATTGAAACTAAACAAGAACATTTGTGAAAACATCAGTCTTTTCACAAGAAAGTAAAAATAAAAAAAGGTGATGGAACTATTTTAGTGGTAATAAAAGACAGACCCTTGTTCAGAAACAGACCACCTGCTCCCAGACACCAAAGTTGGTCATACAGAGGCAAACTGATGTTAATTAGTAATTCATTGTGTATTGACTGAACTTTTAAAAAGCCCTATTCCTTAGCCTGTCAGAAGATAACTAGATGCAATTAATTAATTTGTTAAGTGAATATCTGTCGACGTCCTTAGATCTGCAAAACTATTTGGGCAAAGCATTTTAAGCAAACAGTGTGTAATTCATGTAATAAAATCTGTATTTAGCTAATTAACTAAATGGATTATGTAAAACCCATACAGATATTTCGACGCACTCTTGTATCCAAACAAATATGAGCTTAGATAAATAAAGCAAGATATACAAGATTCAATCTTATAAGAGATATAAGATTCAATCTTATATCTCTTGGTTTATTTTGCTTTTTTTACTTCACTTTCTGGATAAAAAAAAAAAAAAGGCCCTACGTGGGTCGAAAAGTAGTTTCTCGTCCCTTTGGCTTTTCAAGACCTTTTCCAAACAATTTCACTTTTTTAGTGTAGGTTGAAAGGAAGGACACAAAATACCTGCAAATACCATTTCAACACAGTCTATATGCGAGACAAAAAGCACGGCACTGATCATTTGCGATAGGCAACAAATGTTGTTGCCAGTTGCTGTGTTCACATACTGTATGGGTGTCTGAGAGCAGGGGGGCACAAAGGCGATAGTGTGTTAAAAACGCATCCAATCTGTAAAGCATGAACTTCGGCCTCAGACACTGAACCGCGCAGTGTAGATGACATCGACCGTGTGCTACTGACCTAACTGCACTGAGGCCCTGACTCGCACTGTAAACCGCACAGCTTTCGTGCTACCCTGTTTACACACAAACAAACAAACAGGCTGGTGCAATAAACCAAGAACAATAAACTAGACAGCTTAACCTTATTAAAAAATACTATCCATGTTTCTTATACAACTCAAAGTCTAGCTCACTGATCCAAGTGTCTTGATGATCGTAAACTCACTGGCTCAAGTCATATATGTAGATATATTTTTTTTTTAGTGAAGTACATAGTAGTTCTCATTCACCCCTAGTGGCCAGGTGACTCCACACACAGCTACAGCGCATTGACAACAGAGAGAAAGCAGAGACGAAAAACAGGTTAAGTGTAACATTCTTCCAGTTAACGGCTTTAGAGAACGGTACCGCAGTACTCTTTGTTAGTTAGGTCCATTCAAAGCATGTGTTATAGGTAGATCTCCAGAGGGCTAAGGCTAAGTACAAACAGACAGATTAAAACAGACACATGGGCCAGAATGTAGCTCTGTCACAGTGTCAAGCCATCAAGTTAATCAGCCTCCAAGTCAGAGGTAAGATGTGTGTGGCGTTTTCTTGCCTCTTCCTCCTTTAAACCCAGGGCTGCGTTCCAGGCCGCCTACACTTCAGCATTTGGCCGCCTGTTCAACCAGACTGCCAAAATGAGTGAAGATGCTCTGCAACACTCCCCAGGGTCCATGGCAGTCTGTATCAGGGACTGCCTGTTTCTACGTCGCTGTCGCCAGGAGCGCCCTTGTAAATCGGGCTCTTGTTCTGCAGCGCAGGCTCATATTTGCGAGGGGATGACCTGTTGGCGGCTTCGCTGCTGTTCTTAATGCCATAGAAGAAGTAGATGGCAAAACCTTGAGGGGAGGACAGAAGCAACAGGAAGTTACAAAACAGTTACACGATGTGTAGAACTAGAAATGGACAACACAATGCCACACACAATTAAAGAGTTCAAACGTACCAATAGCCATCCAGACAGCGAAGCGGATCCATGTACCCATGTCCAGCTGCATCATGAGGTAGATGTTGACGAAAACACTGAACAGGGGCAACCAGGGAAGCAGAGGGACCTTGGGAGGAGAGCGAAATTGAGAAAAGTCAGCAGAAAGTCAGCAGAATCACATTTAACTATCTACCTCGTTCTGCCTGAGGTAGCAGTAAGTTCACATTGTTTCCCCGATTCCCTCAATCAGGGAACAATGTGTGCCAAAGTAAATGAGAAGTAGGCAACATAGTCTCCCAAACTACCAAGACACTAACAACAGTGTAATCATGCCAAAACAAAGAACTCATTCTAGGCTAAAGACTAAACAAATGGGTCCCTTCTGAGAGTTTGAGTGTTACCTTGAAGGTGAGCGCCTCTTTGCTCTCGGGCTGCCTCCAGATGATGACGACACAGACGCCACAGAGCAGAGTCAGGATGACACAGGGCACCACGACGCCTGGGTGCCCGGCCAGCAGTCCTGAGAGACAGTTTGCCAGGGTAATGCACAGTATAGTGATAAGAACCGCTGCAGAGAGAGAAGAGGGAGAGAGAGTTACTTTAATGGTGCAAATTACCGTCTTATTCACCGTTTTAAAATACATTTATATACCGACAACAAGCTCTATCTCTGCTTCCTCCCAGACATACTTACAAATAATAGCAGTGGTGACGTAGACAATGTTCCCAGAGATATTTGTTGGGTTCTTTCCACTTGGGCAGAAGAGCAGCTTGGCGGTGAAAGTCTCTCGGAGCGGCCTCTCGTCCGTCTCCATGCCGTACTCGTCACCGCTGTCCCCTCCGCTTACGGGCACCTTCTCCCCTCCCACCAGCTCCACCAGCTTCTCTGTCTGGCTGGATGAATTCAGGGTGCCTGGCTGGTACCTGTGAGTGATGGGAAGTGTGTCAGAGTGAAAAAGCTAAAAAAAAAAATTAAAAAAATGCTGTGTGCAAATCTACATTCCTCTGTTCCTTAAGTCCAAAGCAAATATGAGAATGAGACCACAGTATGAAAAGCTTCTGTGGAATTTGTGCTTTGGCTGTACACACATCATGATCTGACTACACTTTTAAACTGGCTTCATTGGTACCTGGCTATTATATATTAGTAGAGCAGCTGCTAGAGAGTGATGAATACAACTTCAGAAGACTTTGAGACTGTGCTAGAAGAAAATAAAAAAGGTGCTTACCTGAGGATGAGGACACAAATGGCCACTAAAGAGTATGCTAACAGAGTTCCAATGGACATGAGGTCAACCAGAGCTGCCAGGTCAAACAGGAAGGCCATAAGAGCTGTAAGGAGAAGTAACAAACATTTACACTGTAACCAATGTCTGCAAGACAGAAATAGGAACATTGAAATGCTTCAGTGGCTGTGGATGTGTGTTATTGATCCTGAACTGACAAGCAGTCAGACAGGTGTATGGATACAGCTGAGGGGAGACACAGAGCTGTGACTTTGGCAAACAATAAGCAACAACTGGACAGTCAAAACAGCAAAGAGCTGCTGGCCTGAAGCAAGGAACAACAATGACAAAATAAAATAAAAAATACAAATAGATTACCTGCAACAATGCCAGAGGCGATTGTAGCCAGAAGAGGTGTCTTTGTGCGAGCATTCATCCTGGACAGAATACGGAACAGCAGCCCGTCCTCTGCCATAGCGTAGATAACACGGGGCATGGGGAACATAGAGCCTAGGAGACTGAGAAGAGATCAATAATTAGTATTCGACATCAAAAGCTTTAGGGTGTCATGTAAAGAAACACATTGTGGCAAGAAAACAATTTTCTCCCTTACCTTGTGGACAGAGCGCACAGAGAACCCACAGCCACGATGTATCTAGCAGGAGCCCAGCCGACGTAGGTAAAGGCCTCAGGCAGAGGACTCTGGGTGTTCAGCTGGTAGTACGGCATCATCAGGGTAAGAGCGGCAGAAACACCGAAGTAGGCAAAAAAACAGATCAGCAGCGAGGCCACAATGCCAATAGGTATGGACCGCATGGGGTTCTTTGCTTCTTCACCTGAGGACAACAGCAACAGCAACAATTAAACAAATAGAGGATTTGTTGATATGTTTTCACATGAGACATGGGAACCACAATAACCTTAAAAAGATGTAAATGTAGCTGCATCAGCCGGGCCCTATATGTTGGAAAGATCTCAAATATGCTTAGGTAATACTGAATGAAAACCCATCATCAAAGGTAGTTTCACCCTTGTGTGTGCATTCCATGTGTGCAGATGTGATCATGGGGGTAGTAACATTGCCAGTAAGAAGCTTGTCAAACAAGAAACTTAGTGACATACAGTAAATAAATAAACCTCTGGGCAAGCAAAAAAACACCCTGTAAATCCCTTCTCTACATTGATTAACATGGATATGGTAAAACACTCACTTGTTGTGGCAATGCAGTCAAAGCCCACAAAGGCATAGAAGCAGGTGGCAGCACCAGACAGGACTCCAGTGAGGCCAAACGGAGCAAAACCACCCACACCAAACTCCTTTTCAGTTCTGAGTGGTAGAAGAGACACATCGTTTAACAATCAAACTCAGGTAAAACTATACTACAACTAAATTTCATGTGCTGACAAAGGTGGGCAAATACTGACTTCAAAGGCCTGCTGCTGTTGGTTTCATTTATGAATCTGACGTAGTCTTCCTGTGTCAGGTTCCAGTTGGCTGTGTCCCCCTTAACAAAGCCAGAGATTATAACGAAGCCCAGAACCACCAGATTGATGCCTGTGAAGATCTTATTCACGAGTGCCGACTCGCTCACACCAAAGGCCAGAAGGCCTGAAGGCACAAAGTACAGGAAGGGAGGAGAGGATAGCATAGGAAGGGAGGAGAGGGATGTGACAGAGAGAAGACAGAATTAATATTTCAGCATCAATAACAACATGTCCTGCTATGTGGGTGGATGTGTTCGTACTTCATTACTTCCAACATGCCATCCGTCAGCGACACTAATCCACCAATTATTTCTTTCTAACACTGCTACTGGCATCCCAAACTAACTGCAATATTAGTGTGACAACTGTTCTGGATGTTATGCAATGTTTTAATGCAATGCTAACAATGGCCAATGAGAATCAGTGGTGCTCAATCCTTTTGGCTTGTGACCAATTTAAGCAAAGAACTCTTGCAAGCCAAATTTAACCAAAGGGGGATGTCTGTTTAATTCAAAATTTTAGTGGAAAACTTCACAGTATTTCACAATAATAAAAAGAAAGATTACACGAAAATAAATAAGAAGTTCATTTAATTTTTTTCTTTCCCTAATCATCTTGCAATCTGTCATTTATCCTGTAGACCTCAGAAAACTCACCAGTAAGCAGCAGGATGAGGATGAGAGCAAACAGATCGGGGTACTCTGCCAGCACCCCCCCTGGCACCTCCATTGCCATGAAGGCTCTAAAAAAGCCAGAGATCTTTTGCTCAACCAGGTTATCAAAGGTGGAGCTCCACGCCCTGGCCACACTGGCCGTACCTAAAAGAGAACACAGAAACTTACGTAAGTCAACAATGTGGTAATGAGTTCTCCTTTCCATGGTTCTTTATATTCTTACTTGGTTAAAAATTAATTTAACTGATCAGTGTTGTTGCTGCATCAACAGCAAATACTACATAAAACTGCAACAACGCCACTGAAACTTTAGAAAACTCACCTATCACATAGGAGAGGATGAGGTTCCAACCCGTGATGAAGGCCCAGATTTCTCCAACTGTCACGTAGCTGTAAAGGTACGCAGATCCCGTTTTGGGGACACGGGCGCCAAATTCAGCATAGCAAAGGCCGGCCAACATGGAGGACAGAGCGGCGATGAGGAAGCAGAGTACAATAGCGGGTCCGGCCTTCTCCCGGGCGACCTCGCCAGCGAGGACGTAGACACCGGCGCCGAGCGTGGCGCCCACCCCCAAGGCGATGAGGTCCAGGGTGGACAGGCAGCGGGCAAACTGGGACTCTTCACCTAAGCCATTTAATGCCCGGCGACGAAGCAGGGTTTGGCCAAAGTTGGACAGCTTGCTGGCCATATTTGCTGTGATTGTGTGTGGGCGCTGAACCAGGCTATGCGTTTTAAATCCTTCTAGTGTGGGTGTGTGTGATTGACACAGCTTAAACAGAACACGTGTGACTGGACTGAAAGTAGCAGTACTTTGCGCAGATGGGTAGGTAAACCAAGTTCTTGTTTATTATAGGTCCTTCAGTGCAGGTGTGTAAGCTTAGGCACTTGAGCAAATGGAACAGGAAGTAGCAGGTCTGTGGTTGCAGTACTTTGCAGCAGCAGATTAGGACCTGTGAGAAAACACAAGAAAACAAGCGCTCAAAATCAGAGAAGTATTCAGTAACTGCCAAAGCTTACATGTCACACAGCCGTATTTGGCACCGGACGGTTGGATTATTGCATCCTTTCTTTTCAACTGTGAACATTTTCGAGGAAAGGTGTTCAAACTCAAGAGAAACCACAACTCGACGAGTTCTGTCCCACCACGGCTAAACAAGGGATAAGCTTTGTGGCATAGGTTGTCAAGGTTATTTTCATAATCTGATATCACACACAATGTCTCAGTGTGGTTTAAATGTCCTGGAATATTATTCTCCTCAGCAAAAAGGGGACACAAGAGACAATAAAAAGACACATTTCACTACATGAGTATGCAGAACTTGTTACGCAACTTCCAGGAATTCATACCTCCACCTCTTACCACATAGTAACACATCATGAGACGCAGTGGGGCACGGAGAGACCTCATGAAGACAAAAGAAAATCTATCTACCTAAAGCACTATCCTACTAAGCATAAATCCAATCTTAATTCTGCCTTAACAAATAAACCTGCCTGAGAACACACCCCTATAAAAACAGAAGAACACCTAGCTTAATTCCCCGCCACTCCCTCGCTGCGAGAAAATGCACTCTACTACCTGTGTTATGTTTTTTCAGCAGATAGAAGCCGACAGGGAGAAGCCTGGGAAAGCCAGAGGCTGCGAAGGGACGATACGGTTCTGCAAGCTAATATCAACAAGGGAGAGGAGGACAGCGTGAACCAGCAGCTCGATAAGGCGAACCAGCTGCACTGGGAGAACGCTGATCATACTCCATGTAAAAACTCACGTCGTCTATTCCAAGAACTTGTCTTAACAAAACACTATGTTTAAAACAAATTCTATACAAAACCACAATTCAATAATAACGTGCACACGCAAATAAAAGGCTATCATCAGATCTCTAGATCTACATTTGATTATACAGTCTGTACTTTTCAATTGCCACAACTGAGTGAGTGAGTGCAATAAAAACTTGTGGCAGTGTGATAATTGTTACGGTTGATTATTGTCCCATCCATTATCAACAATTGGAATAAAAACACAGACAAAACCACCCTCAAGGACAATGTCAACACACTATCAGCAGTAAGCTTGTCAACTTCATGGAAGGGTGAATGATAAGGATGAATCCATTTTCTGTAAAAACACGCACACACACGCATACAGCCGGGAACAGTTCATAACAGGTCATGGACATTTGGGCACAGCACATCTGACCAGGAAAGATACAATGTTTTTCTGTTTGTCTTTGGAGGCAGTCAGGAGCCTGGATAGATCAACACAGGGGTCATGGACAGGTTTGACGTAAATTGCTGATTGAAAGTAACTTAAAATTGTGGGCACTGACACTATTACTGTCAAATAATACTGCAATGTAACAAGAGACACGCCTCATAGAAAAATGTTTGGCCTGTTTTTTTTTTTTCTTTACTTGAAGCTCTGAGAAAAGAAATCTTGGTGCATTAAACAGGTTAGGCTGCTTGGTTTACTCCACCTTGATGAAATACCACACCAGTATTAGGAGGACATGCAGCTGCTCCTGCAGTGACTTGCTTACATAAACACATGTGAAAGTACTACAGATTATATATTAACTATAATAAAATGTGTTAGTTACTATATAATACGAATACTCCATGTACTCTATGACCAGTTTTATAAATCATAGCTTTGCAGAGAAAATATTTTTTTCTGACAGAAAGCAGGAGCCACAACTCAACCTGTTGTATGTCATTAACTCTTTTTTGAAAGGGAATTTTAAAGGGTTAAAAATGTCACTAAATAATGAAGTTGATTTCATTAATTTTGTACTGTTCATGAAGGGCCACAGCACAACACGGAGACCAAAGCTTTGCACATCAAGTGTGTGTGAAGGAGTGAGCGTGAATGTCTGTCGTTAACAACTCAACATTTGTCTTGGTTAAAATGGCTGTATCGTGTTATCGTACCATAGTTTTCACTTTTATTGTGGTATGTGAACTGTGTCTGAGTTTGATTACTGAGCAATCACACTGAGCAAAGTCATGCTTGTAATGTCATGGGTGAGGAAAGTTCTCATCTGCAAATACTAAACTATTTTTATGATTACTACAACTGCTACTGCCATTAGTAACCATTTACAATTTTACAAATGATTGATGAAGGGGAAAAAAACATATGGATCTGGTTTCTTTAGCAATTTAAAGACTGACGTCAACTCTGGAAGACTGAAGACATGCTAGTAGTTATTCTACCGATTTGGAGCAATTTACAGACAAAAACCCCAAACGTGAGGCTTGAAGTCAGGATTTAGGGGACAGAGCAGCAGCAGTCAAAGGCAGCGTTGCACTGAGTCTGAAGCTGCACTGATACCTGATTCCTCGGTGTCAGTGCTGAGAAGGCGGATGGACATTTCAGGCCTATCAGTCACTTCACCGGTCAAGCAGCAAAAAGAAGTGAAACACTAACCCGACAACACGGACCGGGCCGACTGTCTGGCACAGTGTGGACGTGTGAGTGTGGTAGTTATGTTAAAGTTCTGAAAAGTACTGCTTCAGGCTTTTCCACTTCACAAACTAAATCAAACGCAGATTTTGCTTTTAATCTCTATTAAACTTTGCACACTTTGGGGGAAGTTTCGAGAATTAAATTTCATCCCTGCTCAGGAGGTGACACCAATTCAAGTTGCAGGTACTTTCAGACAGCGGGGACAAAATGGAGGTGGAATGAGGTGTAAGACACAAAAAGGTATAATATAGCATCGTTTATGAAAAGTGGAGCTACACCTCACAGTGAAAATTGATTTTTTTTTTTTTTTTTTTACAAAATTAGATTAATCAAAGACTAAAACATGTTTATCTGAGCAATATGCACAACACAAGGTGGTCAGACAATGATTTTACCTATTGGCTGAGGTCACACAGTATGTGAGACAAGGAAGAGAAAAAGTCTTTCAGCTGTAGATTATGTTATGGTCCAATTTTGTCCTGTTCTTTTTCATAACACACAGGATACAAGCGCTCACAATGTTTCAGTACAATGACAATATTCTATTAATACGATAAAAATAACATAACCTATTTATCAAAGCGCTTCTAGTCGTACCATTTCAAAAGAGAATATCCTGCCTAGTACAGTTAAGTGTTGGGAGAAAAAAGAAACACTGTCAAACAATGAAATTAAAACAACAGAGAGCACCCAATAATAAACATTCAGCCCTCTGAAGGCCGATGGGAAACTGGTACATGGTGGATGTGCTCCCACTCCCCACTTGGTGTGACATTCCAGTAGCATTTTCCACTCGCACACCAGGAACTGAGATCTGAGACTATCGATGTTGTGTCAATAAACATTTATTACTAAACTATGTGCCCAGCTGGCTGTGATCTCCTCAGGGGGTTCGCCCAACACTGCACATACTTTAAAGACAAAAGTGCTCAACTGAAACCAGCTAGCTGTAAAGCTGTGAAAGCACAAAGAGAACTTAACATTTGGACAATTTAATTCCAGATTGAGAGCGAATCTAGCCAGAAATTTCAAGAATATTTCATCTGCAGATCAAGTTGTTGGCACAGTTCCCACGAATGCAGGTTACAAAATGCCGACCTGAATGCTGTATGTCCTCACTTTAAGGGTGGTCTCATTAAAGCGACCACCTCTACTTGATGCCTCAGTCACGTCAGCTAGCTGCTAATCTTTTCCTTGTGGTTTTCACGAGGGTGCCCGCTTACGTAAGCGGGGCAGATTTATGCCAGTTTGCACAGAGGTGTGGCTCACAACTGTGCCGTCTGCAAGCTTCACTACGCAACAGCCCACACACACCCACATGACAAGACCAGTGTGCTACCTGCAGCCATTTTCTGTTGCTGACTTAAATACATGTGACTGTGAATGGGAAGCAAATGTTACGTGTAAAACAAGGGAGACACGTTGATTTCTGTTTTGTTGTATCATTGTTTACTTTCTCCAGCAACGACACAACCAGAGTTTATTCAAATTTTGTTTTTTTTTGTTTAGTTTTTTTTAAATTGAGCTGTTTATCTTGGAGGACTATAACCAGACTTGTGGCCAACAGTGCTCTGGTTACAACAGGCTTCAGGGATAATGGCCCTGTTACTTGACTTAGCGTTGCTGCAACTGCTGCTGCGGACTCTAAGAGGATTATTTGGAGAAGTAACAAACCTGCTAACCTCATTATGGCTTGTTGCTGCTCCTCTGTCCACACATATAAACAACGCATGGCTTTGTTTTGACTGCCACCGTTGACGACAACAGCAGTGAAACTCTATGGTTATATGACCTCACCCCAGTGAGGTCTTTTCTACTATATTGTTGTAACATTGTCATCTAATATGTATATAATAATCAACTGCAAAATGAGAAATGTGCCCATAGCAACAAAGTTCGCTTTGAGGTAAAAAAAAAAAAAAAGCGATGCAGAATTTTGGTATAATTAGTCCTGAGAATGATCTAAAATTCATAAAAGTATTTTTTTTTATTTGCTTTTTTATTCTAGGCGCCTTAAGTTTTTGTCTCAAGAGTAAAAACTCTTCATTTAAAAAGGGGTGATTCTGACCATAAATCACCTGACTGTGCAACAAATCCCAAGTATTTTCCCATACATGTATAGATATATTCAAACATTTACATTTAAATATTCAAATATGAAAAAAACCCCAAAAAAAGGCATTTGTTTTTTTCTTCTTCTCCAAATGTGAATGGAATTTCAGACTTCTTGAAAATCCTGTATCTGTCATTTGTGGGCACAGCAGATATACAGTGGGACAACTTGTTTAGTGCCCTGCAGGGCTAAACACCCATTAAAGGAACTAACAGTGACGCTGTATAACCCTAAAAAGGTACGCCGTATCATTGCTGTCTACACAAAGTCAGTCAAACATTCTTCAGGCATTACACACACACACACACACACACACACACACACACACACACACACACACACACACACAATGGTTTTCCAGGTGTTTGAAGTTATGAACAGTATGTCTTTTTTTTTTTTTTTGAGCCAGATATGTTTGTCTGTATAAAGGTACCCTGTAGCTTTACCTAAAAGCTGTATGTGTTTACTCTACTTGTGTATGTAAGTATGTGTGGACAGACTGACCACTCAGACTGAACCGAACGACCGTTAAAGTCACCTGGCTTGAAAACCGCCGCTCCTGCCAAAAAACTGCTCTCGCTGTGAAATGGAATGTGACAAACTAACAAATCTGTTCACTTTCCCATAAAGCAATGCCAACACCATTAATTGCCACAAGAACAGAACTACGAGTCTACGCATTAAAGACAGCTGGACGCCTTTACAGATATTGGTACTGAGCCGGGTATATGGAGGCCACGTACGCAGAGAAACATGACAGCAATGTTTTATGGAACTCCCCCCTCTATGTATTTAATTATGCTCAGACTAATTAGAGACCAGGGTGACAGATTTCCTCAGCTTCTCCCTGAAATATATCAGCACATCAAACACAAGCATTTAAAGAAAATCTGCACATTTGCCAAGTCAAACTCTTGTATGTTGTTGAGGGCAAAATTAAGACTTGGGTTATTGTTGATGCGATAATCTTGGGAACATATACAGACACACTATTCCTGGTTAATTATATTTGTGGTGTCATAAGAATTGAAAATGCTCTTGAGGGTTTAACAGTCACAGTGCAGTACACATCCACCACTATTAAACTTTTATTATACTTATCTGCAGTTTATTAGGCACCACTAGCTAAGTAAACTAAGTAAATCTTACTTTCATGAAGGTTGTAGTTTTTGTTGAAACTGTGAAGTGCTTCTAATATTTAGTCTAACCCCAGTGATGTAAAAATGCCCATTTGTTTTAATGCAATATGCAACACAACAGCACTAAAACTACTATAAAACAACGTTCAAGGTAAAGGAGTTATTTGTAGGGTTTTTGTTAGTAGACCGACAAGAACACACCAAATAATCTGCAAATAATGTGCAAGCGTGCTATAACGGGGAATGCAATGCTGCAGCAATGACAGGAGGTGATAGGAAAGTTGTGACCACAGAGTTTAGGACCAACAACCTCTCACTCCACCAAACCAAACCAAACAATACGACCATCGCTGAACAGGTTTGGACTAAAACTCCACACCCAGACTCCTCTCCTCTTCTCCTGTACGCCTCACCACAATACAGCCACTAACATTTCTTATCCTTGAAGTGGGTTTTCCACCGGCTGATGCAACACGAGCATAGTAAAGACCGTGCGGACAGGCAGCATGCTACGGAACACTACCCCGGAAGGATGATTCACTTTGATGGTACGCGGGGATGTTGGGAATTGAGGCTACTATTTAAAAGCTATTACATCTAAATAAAGACACTTGAAATAGCCTTACTCACGGCCTTAACCAAATTGGGCGATGCTCAGCTGTCCACCTAGCTGATGGTCCATCTGTCAGGGGGCCGAAACACCAGCTAGCTACGTGGCTTAAGTCAGTCTCGCGTGGTGATGTTGCCTTCAGACATCATGGAAACATCGTAATTTTCCCGAAGTACACACAACTCGTGCTTCTGGTGTGTCTCTTGTGTACGATTTTAGCGGTCACAGGTGACACCCACGGTGTCCATTTAAACGCGATATGGTGATTTGTCGTCAGTATTTAGTGTTTACGTTATTATTTTTTTTAAAAAACGTAAGAGCATTAATACGAGTTCACTTTCACTTACTGCTGTTTGTTTTATTGTATCTGTCTTTGCAGTTATAAAGCAGTCGTGTCGCTTGATTTGAATAAATAAACGAATGAATGTCTTTTGCACCACGGGCTGTTTTGCACTTAATTTGGATTATCAGAAATTCGGCACTTTCTGGGGGGTCTTTGAAAGCATCAGCATTACCGTCATCCCACGCCTTGATAGCACGCCCTTACTAGCGGAGTGTGCTAGTCCGAGAGGACCAAAACAATGAATGAACACAGCGTGAGAACCCCGAAACGTGTTCAACCGTTTCTCTTTAAAATAACGTTTAAACGTTTCCCTACACTTGTCACCTCTCGCGAGTCTCGTGTATTTATTTAAATTGTACTTTGTTTTGTTTTTTGTTTCCGTTTACCCGGTTGACTCAGTCCCCGCTCAAATGGGAAATGAAAACGTCAACTACTGTTAATAAACTGTAAAATACAAAAAATAAATATTACTTTACTCTTAACACCGTAAAACACCACGTGAAGACGATAACCGTTATGTTATTTATTTTTAAAAACGCCAGTGAGCCAGTCCAACTGACACCACACGAGGGAAAGATTGCATCAGTCCAGGTATGTAACGTTATAAGATACAGGCGGAAATAAAACGTAGACTCAGTTTTTCTAAAATAAAACAATATAAATAAAAATGTTTTTTTTTTTTATCGTATCAGTGAAACAAGATAAAGGATATTACCTTTAATATATTGTTGGTTGGTAGCGGTCCGAAGACGAGAGATACTGTAGTCGCGGTCGCTGATGAAATGTCCCGCTCTGTGGGTGCGTACGGTTTTGATCAGCTGGGAGGAGGAGGGGGGGGGGCGGGAACTATAAACAAACTGACGCAACTGTGAGGTGGAGCTTTTCCAGGCATGAGTGCGAAGAATGAAACGAAGACGTACGAGTAAACATATAGAAAAAAGGACAAACAAAAACACTTGTTGGGGGACGACGAAGAAAAAACAGAGATAAACATACAAACATGTTTAAGAGACAGGAAGTGGACGCATGTGACAGTTTAACGTGTGTTTAAGTTTATATCCGTCCGCGTGCTTTTGTCGTAGTAGATATGCCCATATATGGAAACCCAGCTTCCTCCCCCCCTCTCTTCTGACAGCTATGTATAGGCCCTGGCTCCAGTCTCTACACTATATCCGCTGTTGCTTTGTTCTACAGATTAAAAGAGAAAGGAGGGAAAAACCAAACTATTTCTTTCATGTTTCATTTGCACTCAGTGACCTGGGAATGCTGCAGAGGGGGTCAGTGGTGTCAAACAATGTAATTTTTATTTAAACAAAAAAAAAAAAAAAAAACCTAATGCAAAACCTAACCTCATCAATGCAAAATGTCAACCAAAATCCGGTGTGTGAATGATTAAATTCTGTGACATCATGTAAATGGAGGGGGGCTTAAAGACAGAGAGACTAATTTCAGTGACTGTGGTCCGATGCAACACCAACACTGTATGGCATCAGAGTTAAATCTGTGCTTCACAATGTACAAATCTGATACTCTTTTTTCCCCCACACACATAAAGTAAATGTATATGACATTTTTGAAAATGATCACTTAAATTAGTTTTTTAAAACATTTTAAAATCATTTTACTGTTGAAAAATGAACCTAAAATGAAATAAATCCAACATTGTAATGGCATTGCTGTTTTGTAACCACCTAAAACATTTGTTGAAACCCCAAGGTCCAGTTAATAGATGTTCTCAGCATTTGATCACATAGATCACACGATCTTGTAGATCAGGGATGTTAAACATATGATATAAGGGTCCAATCTGGCTCACTGGATGACTTTGCAAAGTGTGGAAATTGTCGCTGAAGTCACTGATTCCAATTTTGAAATAAAACGCTATAAATATATAAATAAATGCACTGCTATTCCTGATTTGTCCACAAAAAGAGTAAATTACATTGTTACATTGTTCCAAAATACATGTGGTAATACTAACTGAAACATTTTGTGGATCCACAGTGATCTGTAAATTGTAATGCACATGTAATAACAGCAGACTGACTTATTGTGGAGAAACTGAGACACACACTGCACAAACTAACCTCACCACTGGGTCCATTTAGTAGTTCTGAACCTCTGGATCTTTCAGTGGTACGTGAGATAGTTTTGTCGACTTCTATTCCCAAAGTCAAGAAGTAATCTTCAGTCTCAAGCCAACACAGTTGAGAAGTCCTTAAAGTGATCAGAAAAATGGAAAATGTAACTCCAATCTACACCAGGGGTTTCATACTCATTTTATTTCATGAATTATTATTAATTATCATTATTTCAGAATCAGAAATACTTTATTGATCCCTGGGGTGACACTTTTTCACTACAGTTGTTCCACTCACACAACGTTAAAGAATAGCACTTATATACAATATCTAACACAATATATAGAATAGAAATTAATGTATAGCTATATACATATAGTAAAAAGTAAAAAAATAAAAATGGAAATAGAAATAGAAATATAATAGGAGCCTAAGAGACATAATAAGATAATAAGAGCCTATATACAAAGTAAATGTAAATCTAAACATAAGTGTAAAGATATTCCACAGTATTGGTGACAGAAATTAAATAAATAGTAATGAGAAATACAGCCCTATTTGATCTCAAGTGCGCCTGACCAGTAAAACCACTGCATAATAATGTATAAATAACATAATAATCCTTCTCTGCTAACAGGGCACTGGGAATGTCTTAGTGTGAAAGAGTATATTCTGAAAATGTTCACAATTAATAATATACTAATAATAAATAATAGATGTTTTGAAAAATAAAAATAAGTGCAATTTCAATTGTGTCTCAGTTTTTCCACAGTCAGTCAGTCTGTTGTCATTACATGTGCATTACAATTTTACAGATCACTTGTATGTACAAATGTTTAGGTTAGTCACATGTATTTTGGAACAATGCAATTTATATTTTACAGAGATCAATCTGCAACTATACCTCATATACCTATACCCCTATGAAATAAATCAAACTATGAAATGGAATCACTTTTGTGTAACTAACAAAAACACTTGAGGACAAAACAATCTCACTACAGGGTCCATTTATTATTAGCAATTGATCAAATCACATGATCTTGTAGAAAATGTTCAAATATCCATGTTTCTGAGCACAAAATGTATTTTAACCTTAGTTCACCTTTTTATAACTGAGCTGTGGAATATCAGTGTTTTTATTGTGGTCCGAAATGGATGATGTTAAGTCAGTACCGGACTGAGCACAGGGAGTGTCTCCACCAGTCTTTCCTCAGAATCTGCCCACAGTATTTGCACTGATAGTTACACAAGTGTTCAAGCCGGCAGATGAACTTTCATTCTGATGAGCTTGTGCGGTAATTCAGAGCTGTACCTAAAATGTGTTGCAAGGGTGTGTGGAAATGGCTGAATTCATGGAAATGTATAAATAATCTTTATTTAAGAAATTCAGCATTCTTTCCCGTAAATGTTTTTTTTATATATTGTTTTATTTCCTTTATTTGGTAGTGACAGAAAGTAGGGAGGGTGATGATACCCAGCAAAGGGCTGCAGGTCAGATTCAAACCCTGGGCCGCTGCAGCAAGTGCTCAGCCTTGGAACATGGGTCCCCAGCTCTACCAGGTGAACTATCCGTGTGCCATGAAGTGTTTTTTCTTAAAAAAAATCCTCTGAATATCGAAATCACTGTGTTTTTGTTACCTTAGACTCAGATGTTTTTAATCTTAAAATGGTGCAAATCATCTTCCATAGAGTCAGCCATGTTTCTACAATAGCCCAGAACAGACAAATCAAACACCGGCTCCAAACAGTGTGAACCGTTCGAGACGTTACACATTGGTTTGTTTTAAAGCATTGAGTTTGTGGTCGTCAAAATGACTGTTTGTCGGAGCCAGCAGAGGTGACGTACTATGAGTTGAGCTGCTCTCACAATGGCGGCTGGCACACGTGATCTCGTATTACAGCTAGAGAGTACACTAAAACATGTTTCTGAAACGATTTTAGGTGATAAACAGGCAACACAGTAACTTGCTTCGTATTTGATCAGCGCTGCGTAGTTTGTGTGCTGCGATGGACGGACTCACTGATAATTTCTTGTCAGTCGCAAGGTAGACACGCCCAAAAGCAAACCCTACTTTATCATCTATTTTACTGTAAAGTGGAACATAATTGACTAAATGAACATCGTACCGTGCAGAAGAAGACTTGTAACTAGAGATTGAGAACATAAACTCATTAGGAAACTGTTTACTCAGCTAATAAATCAAGTGAGAAGTCCGGTCATTTCTCCATAAGACTGCACGGTATCAGTGTTTTATTGCAGCTCATGGAGCCATGGGCAGTGTCTGTTTTCAGAATCACTCGTCAGTTTTTCCACGAATGGTTAAAGAAGTATTTAAACCAGCTGATGAAGTAATTCTCGCCTTGTGCAGTCATTCAGACCTATACTTCAAATGTGTTGCAAGGGAAATGACTGATGTCATGGAAATGTATCATCAACATTTAAGAAATGTAGCATTAATTTGAACATTTAACCCTTTATAGGGCACTCATTGAAATACTTAAAAATTTAAAATTTCAACCCTGGAGTGTTATTGGTGGATATAAGAAGACATTTTTCTGACAAAAGTCAGTTTTTGTCTGAAAATCAAAGTCAATGATATCTATGTGGGCTGGCAAAACAACAATCTGTGGCACAGCAGGCCTCCTCTTCCTATAGAAGGACTGAGCAGACAGCTGCTGAAAAAGAAATATGCCACATCAACACACTATGAAAATATGTAATAAATA